TTTTTCGGTAAAGTCACGTTGAAGAGAAACAACAAAATTATAAAACATATAAAACAATAAAAAATTCTCACGACGTTTCGACCATAACTCAAACGGTCGTCTTCAGGTGTGTTGGTTCGCATAAATGTATTTTTAAACGGCACATCTATTTATTTATTTATTTAAAAACCGTTAGCGCCACGCGCAACGATTTAGCAGTTTATTTAGGACTAGTCCATCTATATTCTGAAAAGAGGAGGGGGGAGACGAAATTTTTTATAATGTATGCTGTCTGAAAGCCACTGTAAGCATGAACAATCAATTAAGACCTGAAAAAGATGGATTCTATCTTAGCAATCATTGGAAAGATTTGATAAACCATTTCAGGTCTTAATTGATTGTTCACGCTTACAGTGGCTTTCAGACAGCATACATTATAAAAAATTTCGTCTCCCTCCTCCTCTTTTCAGAATATAGATGGACTAGTCCTAAATAAACTGCCAAATCGTTGCGCGTGGCGCTAACGTTTTTTATAAATAAATAAATGCGCCGTTTAAAAATAAATTTATGCGAACCAACACACCTGAAGACGACCGTTTGAGTTATGGTCGAAACGTCGTGATAATTTTTTTATTGTTTTATATATATTTTATTATTTTGTTGTTTCTCTTCAACGTGACTTTACCGAAAAAACTAAGAATACAATACATACAGTTCGTGATCTGATCCCATCTGTGAAGGATGTGATCCCTGACATGCAATACCCCGGTGTCTACAAACTAAGCTGTGTCTGCAGCAGTAGTTACATTGGGGAAACTAAGAGACATGTCTCGGACCGTGTTCGTGAACATAAGGCAGATCTGAAACACGGTAGGAACAATACCTCAGCTGTGGCTGATCATTGCTTTAGCGCTGTGGGTACACACAAAATTGTTTTTTTCCAAGACGAAGGTACTCTGCAAACCCACTGGCTATCAGCAAAGATTCATTCATGAAGCCATCCAGATACATAAACACAGACACAATTTCAACCGAGAAGATGGGTAAAAACTGAGCAATCATTGGAAGGACATTATTAACCAGTTTAAGTCATAACTGGCTGTGAGGTTTCCATCCTACCTGCCGATGTTAGCAGTTATTTTCGACTTTCTGAGTTACATTACCAGGTTAAATGTATTTACATTAACAGGCTAAATGTCTCACTAACACAGCCACCGTTGCTCGTTGGCCTCAATGGGGTGTTGGTCTTCGGTTTTCCTACATTGACATGCAAATCTCTCACAATACAATGGCCACCTCCACAGCTTCCTCATCGTGGAGCTCAGCTCTCCGATCTTAGATTTATATGCAAATTTAATCTCTAGCCCCGCCCACTTCGCTTATGACCCTTGGGTTACACCCATCTGAAACCTTTATAACACCCTGCCTCAGCAGCGCTCCCGCTATATTTTTTCACCTGATGACGATTGCTTGTGTTGCGATCGAAATTCCGTGATATTTTATTACCGTATTTTCCTGCATATAACCCGCGGGGTATACCACTTTTTACAAACAAAACAAGACCCTTTGGGGTATATAGAGGTGCGGGTCATCCAAAAATATTTTACACGTGTGACATGTCCAAACTCATTTAATTTTTTGATGGTAGGACTATCCACTATGCAACACTTACCTTTGACTAAAGCACTTCTGAATAAACCACTAACACTAAAATTGCACATGTTATCACGTTTTTAATTATTCGAATTGTTTGTAGAATCAAACGACAATGTTTGAAATGGGCGCACTTTGTCTACCGGCGACGGGAGAGCTGGGGGGAGAGGTGGGGGGTTGGGGGCGATGCAACGGCGTTACCGTAGTGCCGCTATTGTCTGTGCAGTGCTCACTCTACCAGTGCTAAAACTGTACTTTTACTTATCTACCAGTTATGTGTTACTTATTTATTGGATATTTACTTTTGTTACTTATTTACTCGTTTCCGGTTAGTTTGTTGTCTTTGTGCAAGTTATGATTTTAATCTTAACAATTTATAGCGGAATGTATTACAAATGTAAACTTCGTATTAATATGATGGAATTAAGCTGCGGTAACGACGTTAAAGATATGAATGCATGCGAGGTATATGGAGGTACGGGCTATCTGAAATTTGTTTTACACAAAATGCTATTTTTGCGGGGTATATGCGTCTGCGGGTTATATGCGTATGCGGGCTATATGCGGGAAAATACAGTAGTTTTATTATTTTTCGATCTACATGGCTTTACCGAAAGACTCAAAGAATAGGAATTCCTGCAGTCACGAAAGCTTCAAGTCAAGATTTAAGCTGTAAATTGTCTTCTCGGAAATAACGAGGTTTTGTGAAGATCTTTCGAGTAAACACTGTAGTTCAGCGCACATGTTCCAAGAGCGATGAAAGGAAGAGTCTGCATGTTGTAACACATTCCTACGGAGGGGGCTGGTAGGAACGTTGGTTGCTCGGTCAGTGGCCAGGGTCAACGGCGGCACGTGGTGTAATCCGCAAATATGCCCGACTGTGAGGGCGGGCACAAGCTGGCGTGAGTAGGTTAAACGTTGAGTTTTATAAGGGCACCACGGGGTGACCAGCCCCTCCCCACCCAGCCCCACCCTCCTACCCCCCATCCAGCCCCACCCTCCCCACCCTCCCCTCCCCACCCAGCCCCTCCCTACCCTCCCCTCTCCACCCAGCCCCACCCCTCCCATTTTTTATATCCGAATGTCCGGATACACGTGGACAGACATCCACAGACATACACAATTAATCCCCTGCCTCCTGTGAGAATTAATCCTGGTTGGGCTTCCAGTCCACTACGTTTCCTACCAGTACCAGTATAAATGGGCGCTAGGTGGCGATGTTTTTATATATCTGGGTGTCCGGATACACGTGGACAGACATCCACAGACATACACAATTAATCCCCTGCCTCCTGTGAGAATTAATCCCGGTTGGGCTTCCAGTCCACTACGTTTCATACCAGTAATGCCCACTACGAGCGCATGTGTTATATATCCGGGTGTCCGGATACACGTGGACAGACATCCACAGACATAATCCCCTGCCTCCTGTGAATTAATCCCGGTTGGGCTTGTAGCCCACTCCGTTTCCTACCAGTATTATTCTACCCTTGAGCTACACCCATTTCAAACCTTTTAAAAGTCTGCCTCAGTAGCAGACCATGCTTTCTCACCTGATGATGGACGCTTGTGTTGTGCCCGAATCGTCGTGATTTATTTTATTTATACCTACGTGACTTTACCGAAAGAACCAAATAGTACTCCAGAAGGTACTTACAGAAATGGCACTAGGCCAACATTTCCACCACAAGATAGCAGAATTTATCCCGTTAACCCTTGGGAAAAGCTGGACATATCATGGGCCTAAAATGAAGGTTTTCAAGGACACGATTGAAAGCAAGCTAAAATAAATAAAAATCACGTGTCTGTAAAAAAATTCACACACACAAGTTGTATTGGAACAAACCTGGACAAGTGTAGTGTAATAGCACCGGCTGGTGACCAGCAGCAGCAATTGCGGTGTACAAACAATACACACGCCGGTGAGCATATACACGGGTGTGTCGGCAGGGCGGAGGAACTGGGGCAAGGGCCCCATTTGGGAGCCCCTGAAACCTGCTAGTGGATTCGAGAAGGGAGGCGCGACCAGGGACGGAGTCAGGCCACGCTGGTAGGAATAAAGGGATCGAGAGCAGGAGCTCGAGGCTGGCGTTTTGGGATTGGATCATCTCGTCGTTGCTGTTGGTCTCGCCATCGTCGCTGCTGTCTTTGCTCGACATTGTGCTGCTAGACAGCCTGTTAACTTTTGATTTAAATCTTTCGTGACTGCAGGGATTCATATTCCTGGTTCTTTCGGTAGAGTCACGTAGAAGGGAAACAATAAAATAATAAAAATATGATTTAACCGTCTCATTTAGCGCTGCCGATGCTAGACTACTAGTGTTGTGTGACAGGCTAGCGAAAACAGTGTGTGGGCAGGTGAGATCGTGTGTTAATAAAAGGTGCCACTACAAATATCGTCTCCGAAGTCACCGCACTACACACGTACTTGCCGACACACAGGACAGCGGGTACTCTAAATGTTAACTTATTAGTTTTACTTTGTCAAGCAGTTCAAGTGGTTAAACTCGCTTGAAACACAAGTTTCCTTTGACTTTGATTCACCGCATCTTTGGCCACTACCAACAACACTGCTCCATTCAGGAAGGGCCTCGAAGCTTCGACCAATTTACGCGCGTGCCCGTCTGGGAACGTGCCTCGCTTCTGGGCACCCTTGCAGCTCTTTTCCATGAGCAAATTATCTCCATGGAGATTCTGACCTCAAGTCAAAACGTTCTTCCAGTGCTTATCATGAAGGCTGAAGAAACACCTTCAGTGTCACGGAACTTGGAACATCGCCGCTGCACCGTGCAAGTAAATTTATTTCAAGCTGCACTCGCCTTCACGGGACCCGGCCAAGCATCACTTGTGCGTGTTGCCAATTTGCACAAACATGTGCTCACTAAGTTTTTTTGGCTTCGTTCATTGGGTCAGAGGTCACGATGCGATTGATGCAACAGAATGAAAAAATAATGTCTCAACAATGTTTGAAGCCCTGGCCTCTTAATATGGGCATCGATATATTAAAGTCGATTGCTTAAGGAAGAAACCTAGGTGGTGATGGAAATTTATAATGCAGGAATAGAAGTGGTGGTTTGGCAGGCTCAGAGATCAGAGCATTGAGAAAGCATAGTTAAAATCCATGGTTGGACACCAGGGATCCACATTAACTAGTGGCTTATACCAATGCCTGCACACACGATTCATCAATTGAAGTGGTTTCCAATTAACTTCCTAAATGCAGCTGAGAAAAAAAGACTATATTCAAAGTTTTATGCGATGACAGTCCACACACTCGTGTATGGGAATTAATGGACTGATGCATCGTTCCAGTCTCCCGTGCGAGTGGGATAAACAGTTCCAGAAAATTGCACAGTAAAAAAACGATCACAGGTGCAACTCGGTCATTTATTTCGACAATTGTTATCGAATGACAATTTCTGAAAACCACAAAGGTTCAAATGGGGGGGGGGGGGGTGGGGGGGGGGGTATTCCACATCAGGACAAAGCTAAAGTACAGAATTTCAAACTTTGTCATTGTTCAACCGAGAGTGGTGAGAAAGCAACAAACGTTGTATTAAAGGTACGAGCAATGTTGGTAACAGAGAAATATGTAAACAATAAAAGCACTTTAGTAGCTACACAAATATTCTTTGGTTCTTTCGGTAAAGTCACGTAGACACGTGACTTTACCGAAAGAACCAAAGAATATGAATTCTCTGCAGTCACGAAAGTTTTGAGTCAAAATTTAGCTACACAAGCATATTAGAATATATGCCTTAAATGGAACACAAAAACTTTGATTTGCAAAATGTGCATTTAGGTGCTCTAAGACAGAATTCCGTTTTACACAAAAATTGGGGAAAACACCACTTGCATACAGGGTGTGACGTACAGGTATTGCTGGTAAATACAGCTTGGATGGTGTAGAAAATTGTCTAATAAAATGGCCACAGCTTATACAGGCATGCAGAAGCCAAAGGACGTAAACTTGACAATTTCACACATTGCTAGTGCAAGCTTATGCCTTTAAGTTAGATTGCGGGTCCCTTTACAATGGCACAAAGGCCAGGATTTTTCGTCTTTCATACGTACATAAATTAACTACTCCAAATCTAGAAGACTGACTTGACTTGCTTGTTCTGGCCAAGATTACACAATAAGCTATTATAGGCATGTTGTTAAACATATACATACAAGCCCCATGCCTTCTACTCAACGTTCGACGCAGTTTAGCTTGTCATCCTTCCCCCGCACCTCCAATGAGCACAAGTGGCTACGTCCGATGCAAAAGCAGTTCAACATACATACAAACAAGTGGTTTACATCTCTACAGGGGAACGTACAGTTAAAACACATCTCCGTTAACCCATCATTGCACATCCACCACGGTGAAAGCAAATGCATTCTCGCGTGACCCTACCAGTGTTCTTGTAGTCCTAATAACTCTATGATGCACAAGCCAATATTTCATGTCAATTTTTAAACACTTGAGTTGAATAGGTGATTTTTTTTGTTGTAAAAGAGTGTTTTCAGCATATATTAATCATTTACAACCCCATCTCAAATACACGGCTGGATGAAGATCATTCCCATGCCGTGTCGGTCATGGGAGTTGTTTTGACCATTCTGGGGAACCTGGTCCAAGAACTGGCTATTTTACCATTCGCCACTGTTAGCCATGCCCGGGAATCAAACTCTGGTGACTGGGGCTTGTAGCGCAGTGCATTAACCATATCCACAGCACCCACCCCCTTTTAGCAAATATTTAAAGTTAAATATTGCATACAGTGGCGTTCACGGACTGAATTATGATAATTATTTGCAAAACGCAGCTTCCATCAATATTCTTAGGCTTTTGTGGAGGAATTGCATATGTGTTTACAGACACATGATAGAATAATAACTTTGAAAACTTATTGTTATTCAGGAGATACAAATTTGGACAGTAATTCTAAGGGGGTTTAAGAATGCAAACATTTTTGGGAAGTGCAAAGTTTCAGAGATGAGTTCCATAGGACCAAAAGAACAGTGATGACACTAAAGGTTGAGCATTAAGTGGTCTCAGCATTAACAAGTGGTCATATCAGTTTCAGCTCTGCTCTACGTTAAAGATGAAATTTCAGCTAGTGGGAAAAAATAAGGTTGTAATGTAAGCATATATATATAAATAGTAGGTCTAAAGAAACGTTAAAGAGTAAAACACAATCCATTTGCAGGATTGTAGGTCAATGGTTATACCATTTCCTGCAAGGGGAAAGAAAATGTGCAAATGTTTCAAGGGAAGAGAACCACTATTCACAGTTTCTTCATAACACTGATATAAAGTTGTGACGTACACTACAGCAAAGCCTCCTACGAGTACTTATTTAAAAGGTAGCTACATCGGTTTCATTTTGTGAGCGGGGGTAAACAAGTGTATTATTTTTTTCAAGTATCTTATTTTAGTTTTCGGTGGTATTTTTTTTCACACATTTCATTTTAACACAGTGCAACTTTACTTTAAGCCCATATGACACTGTGGCTAAAAAACAAATCACAACACACACACACACGAGTAGGCATTGTAGTCAACCGACAGGGTGGGAGGAGGGAACCCCCCCCCCCCCGACCCAATCACTTACAATTTCAACATCGGATAACGTTCGCCAATTCGTACGCGGGGCTGAAAAATTCTAAAAATTCAAGTTGCTGTCATCAAAATGGGAATCATATGTGATCATCTTTTCCATAATTTATCGCTCGTCTTTCAGCGAGGTTGCAGTAAAAATAATGCCTTGCCCCTACACTCAAATCTGTTTGTCTTACAACGAACAACGCCACCACCAAAACGCGTGCGCATTTTTTCCCAATGGGGGACGAACAATTTTTCCGCACGTACACACTTTGTTCTTCTTCTTACACAAATGCAATGTACAGCTTTCAGTCATGCATCCGCAAGGCACCACCACATTGCAAGGACCTTTTTTTATTTATTTAGTCTGAGCGCAATCTTCATAGTGCCAAAATAATGCCCAAAATCAAGGTTGTACGATTGTTCCAAAGTGATTGGCCACACAATAGGCTTTGTTTTTACCTCTTTGTTCTTTCATGTTTATTTTTTTTTACGAGCGAACGGTAACATTGAGCATTTTCACAGTCTGAGGTCTTGGCTTTTTACCTACCATTTACACCTGCCACCTATCGTTCCCAATGGCTTCAGAGCAAAACACAAGGCACTCTATTCCAAAATTACGGGGTTTTGGGTTGACCTAGGAAGCATTTCAACATTTGTCCTTTGTTTTTGTTTTTTTTACACGTAATTTACATTTCATCGCAATTATGCATCTGGATGCTCGCAAACGCTGAAAACATGTTGCTTTTATTTTGAGAAATTAAAAGGATAATCACGAAAAATAAACAGTTACAAGGGGCCCTTCAAAGGAAAAAAAAAATACGTTTACAATGCTGTCTCATGCATCCTCTAACAATGTGAAAGTGTTTTGATTTGCACACGTGCGGTTAGGACAACAACAACAAAAACCCCACCAACGATCGGGCGCAACTCTCCACCGTTAGTTCGTCTAACATATTGCTCTTTTTTTTTGTTCAGCCATTTTCTTGCACAGGGAAACTAAGGTGCACTCGCACAACAACGCTTCCACAAGCGCGCATTAGGAACGTTACAAATTGCAGCGCAAATATATACACCGGTCCCGCTACTCGTGATAATGTAATAATAATAATAAAAAAAAACAACTTGACGTAATAAATCAACTTCAACCCGGGGGGAATAGCCGCGGGGGACTCTCCTCTCTCTTGCTCGTTCATGTTGTTCGCATGTTTGGGCTTGAACTTGGGGCAGCCACGTACACGGGGAACGACTGAACCCCTCCGTTCCCCATCGGCTGATACTGCGCCACCGCCTGCGAGGGCGCAGCCGACGCTTGCTGGCCGCCCGGCAGCGCACACGAGGCCCAGCCCACGCCCACCGCTCCGCCGTAGGTGCCCTGCGGCGCACCGTACTGCACGCAGAGAAGTGGGGCCATGGGCGTAGGCGACGAGTAGGGGGTCGCGGGCGGCCGCGACCCGGGGCAGCTGCCGCCGCCGAGGCCACAGGCCGCGGTGGCCAAGGGAGGGGAGTGCGGAGAAGCGGACGCCACCACCCCAACCTGCAGGCCCAGCTGTGCCGGCGCCGAGAGTTTGCGCATGACCGGAGGCATCACCACGACGGGGGAAGTCTGCAACAGGAATAATAATTTTTTTAGGTGAAAGTGTAGCATTGCAGTTTCTTGGCTGACATCACAACTGGCGGAGCTCCACAGAGCTCCTCTACAGGGTATTCGGCCTTCTCTTCCACACTGGACAGATATCTTGGAAGAAATGGGGTTACCCGCATTTTATGGGGTTGCTACCCACGCGACCGTGGGTACCAATTTATATTTCGGGGTCAACAGAGGCAAGGGGGGTTTTCAGAAACTTGCCCCATTCTCTTAAATCGGCTTCGAACCGGCGACCTCTAGATTGCATGTCCACGGTGCTAATAACCATTGCACCGTAGCAGGATGGGGAAACTGCACTGCGACAAGTTACAAGTGACTCGCTTGGTTCCATGGATTTGCATGCCATTCAAGAAAATGCAACTTGTGCAATCATGTATAATAATTCATTGACTGCAGTGTACTATCATGTATGTTGCACTTCTTTCGCACCATACGTAGCCAACCGCGCGCTAATCGGAGGCGACACGCTGCTCTGCGAGACTTCCCACTCTGCACTTATTTTGTATCGTGACACCAAGGCAATAACACGATCCCAATAAAGCTGTGGAACGGATGCAACAAAATATAGGGTGCTTATTTTTTTCCCCACTTATATGGGGCTATCGTTTTTAATGGAAAAATAATGAATTTTGATTTAAAGCTTTCGTAACTGAAGGGATTCATATTCTTGGTTCTTTCGGTAAAGTCACGTAAAAGGGAAACAATAAAATAATAAAGATATAAAACAATAACATTCTCACGACGTTTCGACTGCAACACAAGCAATCATCATCAGGTGTGAAACCCACAGCAAGAAAATTTAAAAAAGTGGCGGGTTTTTTTTAACGTTAGCACCACGGAGAGCGATTTGACAGTTTGTTCAGATGGACCAACACCTCGGCCGTGGCAGATCATTGTTATAATTCAGTAGGCTCACATGACATTGACTTTTCCAAGACAGAGGTTCTTTGTAAGCCATCTGGCTACCATGAGAGATTCGTTCATGAGGCTATCCACATATACAAGCACAGAGACAATTTCAACCGAGAAGATGGATTCTGGCTTAGCAATCATTGGAAAGATTTGATTAACCATTTCAGGTCTTAATTGATTGTTCATGCTTACAATGGCTTTCAGACAGCATACATTAATTTTTCATCTCCCCCCTCCTGTTTTCAGAACATAGATGGACTAGTCCTTCTAAATAAACTGCCAAATCGCTGCGCGTGGCGCTGACGTTTTTTATAATACATTGTCTAAAAATAAATAAATTAATGCAGATCAACACACCTGATGACGAACATTTGTGTTATGGTCGAAACGTCGTGAGAATTTTTATTGTTTTATATATTTTATTATTTTATTGTTTCCCTTCAACGTGACTTTACCGAAAGAACTAAGAATGAGTCCATCTATGTTCGTGACTTTACCGAAAGAACCAAGAATATGGAAAAAGAATGTATAATAAATACTGTAACATGATAACAAGTGTATGTTAATAGCTTCAAAAATTCAAATAATCTCCACTTATTCGCCATCATTGTCAACACACGCCTGGAATCTTCTCCAGGTGGTCTCCAGAGCACGGAGGACACATTTCTTGTGGTACTGTTGCAAATTCTCGGAAGCGTTAACATTTATGTGAAGCACCCTGTGTATATATAAACCCTCTTTTGACGGAGCTTTACCTCTGACTGGCAAGGCTTTGGCCGCCCGCCCGCCGTATCCTGCCGGCTCTGCGCGAGCTTTGTCTTGATGCTGCTGTTGGTGCTGCTGGTGGCGTCCTTAGCCCAGTCGTCAACGAGCTTGTGCAGGTCATCGGTGAAGGTGCCCTTCTTGTTGCCCGGGGATGCTGCTGCTGCTGCCGCCGCCGCCGCAGCTGCAGCCTGTGCTTGCCCGCCGTGCTGGTTGGCGCTGAAGCTCCTTGATCCTTTGCGTTGATTAAAGTCCGCAGCAAAGAGATGCAGAAAAAGAGGAGAGGAAAAAACTCATTTGAGTAGATTATATTTTATTGGCAGGGAGATGGGCTGTGCACAACAAAATACAGTGAGGCCTTTGACTGAATGTTCAAGTTATTTGTCTCGTAACATCCACCTGTACAGGGCTGCCACTTATGTATCCAACAAAAGGGCTTTTAATGCAAATGTAACTCCACATGTTTTCCAATTAAAGGTCAACGTGTCATTGACTATCTTAGTGAGCTAAGATAAGTTTTAGGGTGTCCCAAGTCAAATTGAAGTCAAGAGGTCACCTTGGCCGATAAGACTACTCTACGACACATCGCCATCACTTCCTTCCATCTGCTAGATCCCAGTTTTTGTTCAAGTCAACTGGCTATATGCAATTTTAGAATTCATGTGAAATACCGAGGATAAAATAAATAAAAGAAAAACATTACTACACATCCATGTGCATTTTATAAAGCAAATTTGCAATCGTTGGTTTCATTATAAGCTTATTTATTATTCAAGGTCTGCTGCAGTGTACAAAATATTAATAAACTAAAAAATTAAGTCGACTATAGGCATCACTGTATTCGGTGTAGTATCACGACATATATACAGGAAGACAACTTTCAGATGATCAATACTTGCCACCATAACATGAGCACATGGTTACATTCTGACGTCCGTCAAATGATGCCAAGCAAAAATCAAGAGCAGAGCCACGCGCGTCCACCGAAAGCAATAAAACCTGCACAAACGGCGACAAAATAAATGTCCAAGGAAGCACCGATACCATGACAGACGGACTCAAAAAGAGAAACATCGGCATGCTAAAATACCCACGTTCACCAACGAAAATACATTGAACAATGATCAGGGATGACAATATGGCATTGCTGTATTTTTGTCAGCAATAAATTGTACACCGTGAATAAATAATTTTATGATCAAAAATTATTCCTGCGATTGGAACAAAACCATTGCATAACAATGGAATTTGTTAAGACATCCAAAGGATGCACAGCTGAAAAACAAATAATGTTCTTAATAAAACCTCTCAAAGCCGGGACTCAAGTTAGCCAGAATTCGGGGTGAGCCAGGTTACCCAAAATAAACAGAAAAAAAATCAAGCTTCTCCACAGGAACAATGTTCACATGCTAATTAAGCTGTGGGTGTCAAAAGAAAGTGTGCACATGTTCACTAGCAATTATTAAGCTGTAAGCATATCGTACTTATCTGTTTAATGGAATTATGCAAACCCATTGGAAGCCACGTGCTCAAAATCACATCTTCAAGTTTGTTAGTAAAATGTATTCAGCCTTGCACATCCAATGAACCTCGGCCTTCCACCTGTGCTTCATGGTAATGGTGACTGATTAAATTACGCAATATTAGCTTTATTGTGAATTAAAGCCTCAAGCTTTGTTATTTGCTAAATATCTCAGGTGTTCATTACATATATATTTGATTACAATCTGGTATTTAAAAAATCTTGTATGTATGTAGAACCTCTTTCGCACCATACGTAGCCAACCGTGCTCATCGGAGGTGCAGAAAATAACCTTAATTATTTGCAGTAGACAAGGCGTCCCCCATTATTTGGAAATTGCTCTCCGCCCAATTAGTCCTGCTTCGAGAGGTGGGACCATATTCTTTGGGTCTTTCGGTAGGACCATTTAAATGTGATGCAATTGTTTATCTCTCTCTATATATGAATCGGATAAAATAAATTGATCCACCCCTTCTTCCCATCACAAAATGCTTGATTTAGTTATTTTCCCTTCACATTTTTGGAGGCCAGGGTGAACCCTGTGAAAAAATATATATAACAAAGGGGAGCTCACACGTACACAAACACAGGCACAATGGCACATGCAGCTATAGAGGAGGAACGAGAAAAAGACCGATAGTTACTACTGCGATCTTTCCCTAGACAAAACCGTCTTAGGGAGTTCCCTGCAAAGCAAAGGAAAAAACACAAGTGTTAGGCAAAAACCGCTGGGTAGATCTTGCCCTGCACGCATGACCACTCGGCGATTTAAAAGTAAATAAAAACCCCAATTGGGATAAAAGTTTCAATTGCACGGACACCGCACGGTAAGCTGACCGACCCCGGCAACAGTTCTATGTGCTGTGTGGTTAACAGCGATGCCGTACAATATAATGCAATGCTGCGCCGACTATTCTACTTATAAATACCAAACGGGAACACAATATTTAATAAACGTTTATTTATTTGTTTAAGCAGTAAACGCGAATGCAAATAAGAATACTTTTGCATGCGGCTTTCGGAGTAAACAAAAATAAGTTATCTTAATAGACAATAAACCAAATGGACAAATTAATTATTTCCCCCCTCCTCAAAACAATTAGGCATTAACATACACAAATTCACTTTACGCAATTTAAAATGTACATTTCTTTCACAGACATTTAAAATAAACACTTCTTTTAAGGGAATTGCGAGTGGGTGGAGGGGGGGGGGAAATAAAAACGCAAATTAATGCGAGCCAAGCAAATCCGACAGCCCTCCCAGATCTGAAAACTTTGACAAAGAGCGAATGCAATTCAGCACAGCATGGAGGCATGATGTACTACGCTAGTATAAGAGTTAGTCAATGGGCGCCTGCCAACGGAGGATTGTCCGCGCAGCTGCCAAGAACCCAAGTGTGGGTGTTTTCGGTGCAACGAAGCAATTTCCGTCTCGTAAGGTTACACGTGATCATCTCAAATGGTAACGACACGGGTGGACTTGGGGAGATCGTCTCGACTTGGGACTGGCAACAGTCAAGGTGATTGTTTCAGCGATTTGTGGGTGGAGCTCTAATGGATTCGAGTTCACGTGCAAAAAATGCATGTGCGCACGCACAAGGGGAACCCGTCAAGTGAGGAATTAATCTGCCTGTAGACATTACACAAAATACCTCTTGTTTACGCATGCCTCCATGATTGTACGCTGAACTGTCAAGATACACCAATTCCGTGCGCATGCGTTTCGGTTTAGACCAACCACATTACAATTAAAAGCGGCCAATTCCTGTACTCTACTGGAAAGGTAATCACCAGAGTGGGGACTGAAACATTGTGGTGAAGGGTGATCCAACTATTTTAAACCGATGCCAAATACATTGTTTTGGCTGTTGAACCGGAAACATTGGAATGCGAGCCCAACACTATAATAGGGGTTCAAGTGCAGACGGGCACATTAGCGCCACCCTGTGTACAATCGGGGAGAGCTGCCAACAGCTGCACGTTTAGAGTTTAGGACGAAGAACAATTACAGATAGACCAGGACATGGATCCACTGATGAATCTGGCACGAGGTTTGCTACTAGATTTATTGGCGACTTTCTCGGAGGGTTTGCGGAACAGTGTCCAACCTACAGGTGAAGGTAAGACAAAGAGGGGGGAAGGAAACGAAGGAAAACACTCTCACAGGTCAAGTTGTTAACGACAAACGGTACGCTCCAAACGACAGCACGGCGATAGCGGACGCGACCCGTCACCGGGGAAGGCACGCCAACGCCTCACTGCGTCAGAGTACCACTGGACGTCGCGACAGCGGCACAAATGAGCGAGGCCGACGTTGCTCGCGTAGCGCCCTGGTGTCGGGTGCAGCCAAGGGAGAGGTAATGCGACCCTTAAGAACAAATGATAAATATTCAATCAGCGGAACTGTGCACAAAAGGTGCGGACGTCGGAAAGAACGGCGTGACTCATGTGACTCCCCGCCGGCATGGCGAGCGAGCGCATGTCCCGACCATCCGAGACACTGTTCCTTTTTTTTTTGTACACTATGCTTCACAGGCTTGAGAGCTATTTTATGTATCTTTTATTACTTGAACGGCTTTTACAGTGCAAAAAAAACGAGGCAGCATTCAGTGTTTGGTACAAGTGTTGCAACATTGCTTCGTAACATTAGTGATAAAAAAAGGCGATACAACGAACCCTGTGTCCAAATATTTCAAAAGTAATTCGAACATTTTTACTTTTTCTTTACTCAATTGTGAGACCACTACACCGTAAATACAAAGTTATCAGCATTATTTTCGCGTAAAACAACCGTTCTACATAAAGTGCTTTGAAGAAATTGCGATTTAACATCGAAGCGCACTTGTTCAGCAAATCAAGCAACTTTCCAAGTTAAACACACAGTCGTAACAATCGTCCCCACAGAAACAATGGAAAAAGTCCAACGCCATGTCTAAAGCAAGATTGGACTTAACCCCAAACGTAGCAGATTTAATTAAAAACACGTCACCTTCTCCTTTTGGCCAAAACCACTGCCCCCCCCCGCCCCGCCCCCCAGCCCCCACCGGGCATTTAAAAAACACAAAAGCAATCCAAAAACGCATAAAACATCGCGAGCAAATAAAAGAAGGCTACTTGGTGCCTTAGGATCAGCGGTTCCCTACCTTGGCTGCTGCCACCGTGACCCGAAAACGATGCGTCACCGAGTACGGCGTTCTGGACGCACTCCTGCTCGGGGGCGGCAGCGGCCGCTGCGGGCCTCAGCGCCTTCGGCTGCTTGGTTTGCACGCCCGCGAGGCACGTGCCCAGCTCCGGCCGCGCCGCCGCCAGCGGGCTGGTGACGGCGTCCACCAGCAAAGTGCCCGCCGTGCCGCACGCCGAGGAGGGCCCCATCGTGCCTGCGGTCGCAAACGATTGTCAGTCGTCGTCGATCGAACCGCCGGACACCACCGAGTGCTCCTTCTTCTTCCTGTCGTACGGCCGATGCGGATGCAGAGCTACAACTGCAATTTCACCGTCAGGTGGTCGAGCCAGATGACTGGGTCAGGAGGGGCGGAGCGTATCATCGCTTTGGTGTCTCCTTCGCATTTGCGGATCGGGGCAATGCGTCGTTTATACGTTGTACTGTCTTGTTCTGGATGACCGCAGTCGCACACTGAAGGGTTTTTTTAATTTCCCTCCCCAAGCAGTGTTTTGTGCGTAGACTGCCGACGGTCAAAATCACCCGGAAGGCGTCCGGTTCTCGTCAGACCTCGGAAGCTAAGCAGGATTTTCCAGCTTGGATAGTGCTTAGATGGCATGCATAACGGCTGTCATAGGCTGTGGGTATAAACTGTGAGCAGCAGATGGTGGAGCTAAACCCCAATGTTGTGCTAGACATTTGTTCCCATGTCTATGCGCTACTCATCCTTCCCGGACCCGGACTGACCAGCGTGGTGAAGTAAAGCGATTCCTTACAAACGCAAACACTTATCATTATATATTTCTATGACACACACACCAATGTAGGACGCTCGCCTCACCCATCTGCCAGGCTAAGTCCTCCTGTGATCGACACAATTGGAGAAGACACGGGGCCTACTATATTTAAATTATCAATCATTCTATTCCCGTATTCTATGGTTGCAAGTACTGCAATGAACGTAACACGTCCCATTGACCCACTCGGCATTGATTCTCAAAAACACGCACGAAACGTGACCACCCTTTTAAGCTTGTATCCACAATGATTCTTACAATGAGTACAAAACACACGAGTGGAAGTTAACGTTGCAAAAACAGCTGATTAGAGCACTAACAGAGCACGTCAAAACTAATGAGAGAAAATATGTAGTTTTTTGTAAAGGAAGCTCGGCTTCTGCACGGGGAAAACTCGGTTTCTTTCCCAAGGGAAGCCGTGTAAGAAAGGCTCAAATAAACACACCGTTTCCACAATTTTCCTTTGCAAATCGACAGTTTGTTTTTCTGGACACCTACTGCTAACATCAATGGGACATCATTTGGAAAGCTCATTAAACGCCTTCAATCTACCAACGCCTATGAATTTTGAGACATCAACATCTGCTGCTTGTGTTCTGGATTGTTGCCTTTTTTTAATTTCGGTACTATCCCAATTTTGTTTTTTAAGGAACAAATAAAGAGAGGGTCACTTTATAAAAAACCTTGCATGTGTATATAACAACAACAAAATATCCTCTCAGTCTTATAAATCATTCTGGCTCGGTAATGGACGCCTTTCCTAATTACGCAGAATGCATTAACGTCTATATTTAATTACGTGCGAAGCTAAATCTTTCCAATTTATCGCTTACAATGGACAAAGCACTTCCACACTCAGCCGGACATTGTTAATTATTCACGGCTACTAACGGGGAGGGGGAACAGAAAGAAGAGGCGCATGGGAATGGCGGAGGTGGTGGGGGGTGGGGGGTGTGTGTCACTCGCCACTGGCAGGCGACGGCACGGTGGCTTGCGCCTGCTCGCCTCTGCCTACTCCTCCTCCTGGTGGAAATTTTCCAGCCCTGACCGTCCGCGCGCCCTTGCCGTTGCGCCACCGCCGGCCGGAAGGTGGCACCAGCTGTGGCAGTCCCGCGGGGGTGGGCGGGAGTCGCCCGAGGTGCTCGTAAAGCTTCTCCATTTCCCTCCTCTGCTGCGTCTGGAGCTCCGACAGCTCCTTCAGGTGCCTGGGGGTTGAATGGAAAAGAAGCAGGGGGGGGGGGGGATGGGGGGCGGCGGCTTGACGCCGGCGCGGACGTTTGGCAACGCGTGAACTTGGGGGACTTTGTCGGAGCCGAGGAACAATGCCAGGATTTGGGGATTCTGGCCAGAGGAACCATTGCCAGAGCAATGGCAACTCCAGAGCGCGAACACCACCCCCCCCCCACCCCCCCCCAAAGGGTCTCCCCCTCGATGACTTGGCCGATGAAATCTCTCCGTAAACGACGGAGCTCGGTTACAAAGCCACGGAGTTGTTTTGTCCGGCCGTCTGTTGTGGGGAGTGTGCTGCTGAGAGTTCAGCGGGCTCACAGGGAAACGCGCGCACCAACGCTAACGCAGCTCAATCTAGATTTGAAGCTTTCGTCACTGCAGGGATCCATGCTCTTTGGCTCTTTCGGTAAAGTCACGTAGGTAGAAAATAAAATAAATAAAATCACGACGTTTCGATTGCAACACAAGCAATCATCATCAGGTGGGAAAACCACGGCAAGAAAATGTTTTTTGCTGAAGTGGGAGAGAGAGCTGCCGTGGTAAGAGGTTATATAGTTAAGGAAGGGGGAGGGGGGAGAGGGAGGGGTGGGAGTGTGGGGTAGGGGGAGGGCAAGCGCTGTTATTAACCAGGTAAAACCCTAACTGCTTTGTAGTGTATTCTTGGTTCTTTTGGTAAAGTCACGTAGAAGGGAAACAATTAAAATTAAAAAATATAAAACAATAATATTCTCACGACGTTTCGACTGCAACACAAGCAATCATCATCAGGTGTGAAAACCACAGCAAGAAAATTTGCCGGTTTTTTTTACGTTAGCACCACGGAGAGCGATTTGGCAGTTTGTTCAGATGGACGAGTCCATCTATGTTCGGAAAAGAGGAGGGGGGAGACGAAAAATAAATGGATGCTTTGTAGTGGTTGTCGTCTATCATATCTGCCGGGTACTACTACTCCACGCAGCGCTCGCCCTACCCCTACCCCACCCTCTCCCCCCTTGCTCCTCCCCCTTTCCTACCTATATAACCTCTTACCACGGCAACTCTCTCTCCCACTTCAGCAAAAAACATTTCTTGCTGTGGTTTTTCCCACCTGATGATGATGATCGCTTGTGTTGCAATCGAAACGTCGTGATTAAATTTATTTCATCTTACACCTACGCGACTTCACCGAAAGAACCAAAGAGTATGTTAACGCAGTTCCTTCCATCCACTTACCAATGACTGTTTGGACCAAATAAGATGAGGAAAAAGTTCATGCAAAATAAAGGTTACTTCACACAAACTTTCCCCTGCCATAGAAATGTGCAAATTCCACCACTGGTTAACAGCAATCAATAAAGATGAGCACAACCCTATTGCTTGAGCAGAGCAAGTTTGATTTTGACTTAAAGCTTTTGTGACTGCAGGAATTCATGCTCTTTGGGTCTTTCGGTAAAGTCACGGAGATAGAAAAATAATATACGTGATTTTACCGAAAGACCCAAAGAGCATAATAGTTTGATTGTTCATCAAGGCACTGATTACGGATCTTGCACAGGCCCTTGCACACAGTTTGAACTCTGCACTACAAAATAATAGGCAAGTGATTGCTTCAAATATGATTGCAGGTGTGTACCAATTTTATTTTATTTAAGGTGTGCTTCATTGTAACTAATTTAAATTAACAGGGGGCAATGCACAACAACAAACAATAGCATCGCAATTGACATCAGTTATGAACGGGAAACTTCACTGCAATATGAAACCATTCACGTTTGGAGGGTGTATATTTTTTTAATTACTCATCCACCGCATTTGTGAGCACCGCCATTCAAGTGGGCAAGATACAGCGCAGTCTGTGCTCGGGGTCTTGGCGGAACAACAACCACGCGAAAGACAAGTCGACGATCGATGCAGCCTCACCTCTCCCGAAGTTTCTGCAGCTCCTTCTTTAGGTCTCCCTCATCGGGATCCGAGTCCAAGTCGCTGCTTAAATAGGGCGACCGCTGTTCGTCGGACGAGTCCCTGGCTTCATGGTAGGGGTGCTCCGCCATCCTTGCAGAGCGAGGCTCGAGGCTTGCGTACATTTCATCATTGTCATCCTTGCCTCCGGGTGCACTCTGCTCTGGAATGACGGAGACCATCGGCTGGAATGAAACCACCCCCTTTTTCGAGGGCGCCGTCGCCGCTCGCACCGCGGCGATGCCGTCATCCTGCTCCTCGGCGTGGCACGCCGACGAGTTCGAGGGCACGGGAGAAGGCGCCGAATTCTCTAAGCCTGCGCGACGATTTTCTCGTTGGTCCGAGTTTGCCGAGTGGGAATCGGGGGCCCTGGCAGCGGTCGCGTCCATCTGCGCGCCAACGGCAGCGAGCTTCCCGCTCCCGTCAGCGGCGGTGTGCTCATCCACGCTGTGTCTACGCAGCGCTTGCCCCATTTCCATTTCTTCAACGGAAGGAACGACTGTCGCCGATCCAGGGTCCGCAGTCGCCTTGGTGCCGGTTTGCACTTCCTGCGGGGTTTCCACTGCCACTGGAATCACCTGCAGTGGTACACATTATAATGAACGTGAATTGGTTAATCTCTAAGAAACTATGTCGTTTACTATTTAAATTAAACGCCCTACTGCAAGTGAATAAGCTAAAATGTAACCAACATATTAGCGCTGAGGTGAAAATGTGTTTTGATGGCCATGTAAAAGTAAACGTTAATTTTGTCTGTCGTTGATTTCTACACTAATCAAACAAATATTTCAACATGTAAGATATTTCGGTAAAGTCACGTTGAAGGGAAACTATACAATAATAAAATATATATATAAAACAATAAAATTCTCACGACTTTTCGACTGCAACACAAGCAGTCATCATCAGGTGCCATTTGGTTTTCACACCTGATGATGACTGCTTGTGTCGCAGTCGAAACGTCGTGAGAATTTTATTTTTATATATATTTTATTATTTTATTGTTTCCCTTCAACGTGACTTTACCAAAAGAACCAAGAATATGAATCACTGCAGTCACGAAAACGTTAAATCAAAATGTAAGCTATTGCTTTCATCGCCCAAATACGATGTTTGAGTCCATTAACCGCTGCCCTTCTTCAGGAACAATATTTGACATCAATGTGTTATATCGGACAAAGTTTAACCTATTTCCACTTGTATTCAGTCTCATCAGTAGGGTGCGGCTACTATTAAATAAATACAGCTCCGATGTCTGGTGTTATGGATAATGTCCGCACAGGGAAACTGTGGGTCCCAGGGCAACACTCTGTATGGTTCAACAAAACCGTAGAGAATAATCAAGAGCTCTCTCGGCAGATTGTAAGCAATACATAAAACAATTCATGGGTAAAAAAATCTAACAATTTAATCAATCAACTAATGGGTGCATAAAGATGACAATAAAATAAGGACGAGCTTAATGTCAGGCCATTTCCTCTGGTACTAAAGGGGTTGCGAGTTTAGTTCTGACATAGCTATTAAAATTATATGTGCAGTCTGTCCAATGATGTCAATTCAACCATTAATGATGATGATACACAATGAGACAACTGCCGAAAATTGCGAACTCTAATTTTCACTTATCCATGAGGGGGGGGGGGACATGGTGTAAGAATACACGGTGATTCAAAAGACGGCTCAGTTCTGGTCAAGAAACGGCACTAGGGCTGAGATTTGTACCCAAGGCCCTGCGACTCCTTCCACCTGCTCTTTCTCTGTCTGTTCTCTCGCTGGCTGGTGGGAAATTATCGTAAAAAAAACACACGGTGCTTATGTTTGGGTTGGATTCTGCTATCCCAAGCAAATAACCAATTATTAGTCTCAAGTTTATACCATTGAAGACAGTCGATTTCCCTGAAAAGGGCACAATATAAATCCGAAATTGAATAGAATAGACTTCAGTGAGAGATACAATCGACATACAATGTGATTCATGTATAAGCCTTAGTGACTTGAAGACTGTTTCCGAGGGCAGACCAGGTTAAAATGTGAAAACTCACTTTTGGTCCAGGCATAACATTAACATTTTTCATCTCGTGAACGAAGCATTTCAACTCGTGTCAGGCAGCTCGGGTGACACAGCCAAAGTACACATCTCGAAAGTAAGAAGTGTTTGTGCTTTGCCCGTCTTGAAAAGAAAACGCATATCCAACGGAAGTCGACATTGACATCATTGAGCTGTTTTGAGATCCTGGGGTCAAAATGCTGACCAACTAGCATTTGCGTCAATCAACTGCGTGTATATAAAGAATTAAAGCTTTCGTGACTGCGTAAAATTACTTATTGTTTTTTTTCGGTAAAGTCACGTATGTAGAAATAAAATAAAATTATATTGAAACAAAACAATCACGACGTTTCGATCACAACACAAGCGATCTTTATCAGGTGTCAAGAACAAATCATGGAGGTAAATACAACAAGATGAGAGACTTCAACAAACCTAAGAAACATTATGTGAAGCACAACCAGTCAGGCCAACAACACAGTTAGACACTTCCTGGCGGACCACGAATTTCGGAAGTGTTAAATTTTATGTTCAACCTCTGGATTGCACATACCAGCATAGAATGAAAAAATACGAGGTACACAGTCAGTAGAAATACATATACAAGCTCACAAGAGGCAAGGAGGGAGGAAAGATGGACAGGGAAGCAAGGAGAGAGAGAGGGGGGCTGGAGGGATGAACAGGTAGGTGGTGCTTATTTGGTGCTTATTTCACCTGCCGCACTCTCTTTCAAGCCTGCGTATACTCCTCCCCCCGCTTCTGTGTATATGCAAGATGTGCTTGTTTCAGCTGCCGTGCTCTCTCTGGCCCCTCCCCCTCCCCCCAACCGTATTTACTATTTAAGGCTTCTGTTCATCCCTCCAGCCCCCCCTCTCTCTCTCTCTCCTTGCTTCCCTGTCCGTCTTTCCTCCCTCCTTGCCTCTTGTGAGCTTGTATATGTATTTCTACTGACTGTGTACCTCGTATTTTTTCATCCTATGCTGGTATGTGCAATCCAGAGGTTGAACACGAAATTTAACACTTCTGAAATTCGTGGTCCGCCAGGAAGTGTCTAACTGTGTTGTTGGCCTGACTGGTTGTGCTTCACATAATGTTTCTTAGGTTTGTTGAATTCTCTCATCTTCTTGTTGTATTTACCTCCATGATTTGTTCTTGACACCTGATGAAGATCGCTTGTGTTGTGATCGAAACGTCGTGATTATTTTGTTTCAATATGATTTTATTTTATTTCTACATACGTGACTTTACCGAAAAAAACAATGAGTAACTGCGTGTATCTTTACAGCAATGCTAAACTACACTAAACTTTTTTACTTTACCTGGGAAGGTTCACCGAGCTATACAGCTCTTTTCCAGAAGTGACCTGACCACAAACGATAGCTCAACCAAGTGACTTATCATCACGTGGACATTTATAGCAGCCGAATGCTCTGAAAGCGGACGAACGTCGCTTCTCGGCGAGTGTCACCGGGGGAAAAGATCAAGGGCGAGACATCATCACACGGCCAAGGCCATTGACACAGGAGGAGGAAACGAAATACCTGAAACCGCCCAAGCTTGACGACGGGTTGGAGGCGCTCGTCGAAGCGAGCTTCAGACGGGCGCAACTGCACGCCCGCACTCGCTTGGGAATCTCGCCCGCGTACCGCCGCCACTGAGCAACAAAACACGAGACAATCAGTTCGTTTAACACAGATTTCCAAGGGCCTCACACGGACCGGGTGTTCGAAGGAATTATTATCATGCGACGTACGAAGCCGTGTGCCGATGCCAACACACGCTCAAGATTACACTCGCGGCATTGCCGTGCGTCTCGGTGTGGATGTGGAGCTCTGTGCAGGCATGCAAAGTTCTTTAGCGTGCACTTGGCCAAATTTTTATCCAACTGATGTGTGTGTCATTGGAGTTAATCAAATTGCACTTGGCAATAAATGTTTGCCTGTTCTATATTAAGGAGCACCTGGCATCGGCAAGGGATATATACACACGCTGGGCAGTGCTTAAATCCCAAACTGCAGCTTCCAACACGGCAGCCCACTTTGTAAAATGTATCATAAACGCACAATAAGCTGTAGTCTCTTAATGGTCATGGAACAATATTAAACACATCCATTCAAGCCCTGTACTCTAAATATTATACTCCAATTACATATGAAAACCAAATGTTTCTCTCTGGCAAGAAAAATCATTGCCTTGTATAGCCACCTTATGAATGATATATACTTCCACCGCCCACAAAAAAAACATCCATATAAATATGAAGCCTGATATACACGAAAGAAGAGATGCACTTACTTTCATTATCTGAAATACTGTATCGTTGTGAAAATTCATCCAGACCAATACCTCCAGATTCCCCACCAACAGCCTGGAAATAAATAATAGTCACCGTTCAAGACAGATATCAACAGGACAAATATCGCATGAAGCATTTTTTTTTAAAGAGTATACATCACTGATTATGTCTTTTTCATTTGTTTAAAGCAAATTTAAATATTTTCAACTCTGTGCACGAGACTAACCTTAACACGTAAGCGTATTGGTGCACAATTCAGTATCAATCAGTGTGTGAAATCTAATACTGAAATGGAAAAAACACCATTAGTCTGTGTCAGCGCTTAGTGCATTTTTTCATACAACTGAAACACTGGCTCTTAATGTGCCCACGTCCATGAAGATAGTGCATTATATATATTAAAGTAAAGTGAGCGAGGGCGGAGCTGTTAATGCATTGTGCTACGATTTTAGCGTTGCGGTTTCAATCCGTGTTATGCCTAACACCCATATCTAGTGAAATATCAACCTAGTTTGTGTCAGGCCTGGGTCAACCGAGCCTAAAATGAGTACAGTGTCCCGTGTCAGCATCAACAACAGGGAGATCAAAGGCAACTGGGAATGCTTAAATCTTGACTTAAAGCTTTCGTGACTGCAGGAATTCATGTTCTTTGGGTATTTTGGTAAAGCCACGTAAATAGAACAAATAATAAAAATAATAACTATCACGACGTTTCGATCGCAACACAAGCTTGTGTTGCGATCGAAACGTTGTGATATTATTTTTATTATTTGTTCTATCTACGTGGCTTTACTGAAAGACCCAACGAATGGGAATGCTTAGTTCTGGTCAAAATAGCCCCTTGGGTGCCATGCTGTTCTTAATAGGTGCTTGCTAACAGCATCTGCCCCAAAGCTATTATGCTAAACGGTGGATAAAACTAAATAAAGTTTTAAATCACTATATATATACACATGCACCTCTGATTAACACGGTTGATTACGCATTGTGCGAGAGAAGTTTAACATACATACACACACAGTATGAAATCAGATACATAAGTTGACTGCATTGCCACCTTGTCTTATAGTTTGTTAATATGCCCACTGCTATGAAAATCTTAGCAGTCAAGAATTTGCTGCATTTTTGTAATTTATAACATAAACCACCTATTACCGAACTGTGAAAATATATAATAGTCAAAGGGGTTCAGCTAGCAGTTCCTCCTGGCGGAAAAAAATAGCGTAACAAATAACAAGTTAAGACCACATGACTTGTCAACAATAATCACACGCAAGATAAGGCACTGGTGTGGTTGTGGCAGTGCTTTGGCATCGTTAAAGCTGTGCCAAGCTCCTCTCAATCTGCCCAACCTGTCAGTGCGATTGTACAGTCAAGGGAGCACTTTCGCTACCGTATCGGTGGACACTATAAAAATAACAAGCAGCAGCATCCACAAAGAAGACTCGGCCAACCAGGGAAGAGAGAGAAATAAAAAAATGTACATGCATAGTAAAAATTCCCACATAATGCTCTATTCAGCCGGTTTCTGCAGAAATAAAAGAATGCGTCAATCTGCTGCAATAATTTTTTTGGTGTTGTTGGGCCAATGCAGGCAGCAGCCGCGTGAACGCCATCAGCTGCCCGATTTATTTATAGCATCAACGGAACGTCCTTGGGATTCAAGGACGTGCCATGTTTTTAGAAAATTGCACTTCAGTCTCGCAAGACTGGCATGGTCATGATTTGCGTTGCTTTCTACATCGTGCGCGTCTCAAACACAGGCACAGAGAGCGTGGCCGGATTCTGATATTGGTGGAATTATTTTTTATGCTTCATAAAAATTATATATATAAAAAAAAACATTAATTGCATATTGGTATTATTTTAATGAACTAAAATGGCAGGTTTGTTTGCACAATATAATACTTCGAATTATATTTTCATTATTTCAGTATTCGTTTCGTTATTTTAGTACTTCAAACACAGAAAGCTCCCCAGAGATACGTTTAGTAAGACCTAATTACGATGTTTAAACCACAAACTTTAACATTGATCTTTTGATATTACCAATTGAGTTGATTTCACTTCGAAATTTTAAGTAAATGTCAACAGTGGATAAATTGCACGAATAAAATTAATGTGTTCTACCAAACAAAATAATTTGGTAACAAAACATGTTTACAAATGGAAAGCACTATTCAATAACATGTTTTGTTTATCTAATTTGCTGCATTACATTTTTTTCTTAAAACTCAAGTCTCCATTACTTCCAAAGCTACCGCATCCTATTGGACAAGGGCCTCCCCCTCACAAAGATTCGCACATAGTAAGTAAGCCACCCACCCAGCTGCATAATCAAGAAAAGGAAATCGACTAATTCGGCTCAACTCCAACTTACAGGTTCGTACGGAGAAAGGGAATGAGCTCGGGAACGGCAGGCAGGAAGGAAAGGCAATCCAGCAGGGTCACCACTGGGAAGGGACGAGGTCGGTGGGGTTGGGGGCCGGTTGCAAGCTTGGTCGGGAAATGCAGGCAGAAGAGACTCCTCTGCCGAAGCTAGGGCGGGAGGGAAGGCAACACTTCCGAGTGCGGCATGCGGGAACGGGGTCGCGTCCTGCTGGCAGGCTGGCGTGCCGGCTGGCGTAACGGCGGCGGCATTAGTGGCAGCAGCAGAAGTGGCGGCGGCGGGGAGGGGGAGGCCCGTGGTTTTGCTCGGCGACTCTGCGCCGCCTTGCTCAGCGCCGCAAGTTTCCGAGACGCTGGCCGCTACATCTTTCTGGCCATCGCCGTACGTCGCAGACGACACAGACGAGCTAGAGCTGCACGAGTCCTGAAACAGGGTCCTCAGCTTCTCATCCAAGTCCTTAATATTACCGGCCTGGGTGGGCACCTTGGGGGTGTCCGGCTCAGATGTGGATGTGTACACCTCGCTATTGATTTGCTGCGACTCCACGGTCTGGGAGTTCGCTTGAGCGACGTGCGTCTGCGCGTCGCCCGCGACAGCCGAGTACGAGATGCTCCCTGGGGAGACCATGGGGGAGTCGGCCGCTACCGGCAGCCCGGACTGGGGCGGCTGAACGGGTGCGCACGGCAACGTGGCGTTACCCGGGGTTACGGCCAACATCAACGCGCACGGCTGGTGCTCAAACGACGGGGATGGCTCCAAGCCAGAGGAGCTCACGGCCAAGGGGGGCGTCGCATTCAGTGCAGCGACAGGGGCTTCCAAAACAGTAATGGCCAGGGACATGGGAACCTGCACGTGGGCGCTCGAGTGCTGCCGTGCGTGCTGCTGCTCTGCCGGCGGAGGAGCTACAGGGAGGGACGGGTCTGGAGCGCCGCACGGAACCGACGCCACGCCGCCACCGCCGCCACCGCCGCCGCCCCCCTCTGCCCGAGCGGCACATACTTCGGGCGACGGCATTTCTGCCACGCCATCCGCGATCGACTCTCGGCAGACGGCGCTGGGAACGCTTATGAAAAGCTCGTGCTGTGCTGCGTCATTTTCTACGGAGGGACTGGAGAGGAGGAGGAAGGGCGGGGGGCCGGCTTGGAAAGTCGGCGGTGCCGTGCTGGGGCTCTCGGACAGCTGGCAGCCCTTCCTCATCTCGTCGAACATCCGTTTCAAGCTGACGACCGAGTCCGAGTTGGACAGCCCCGCTCTGACATCGTTTCCTGCACGCGTGACAAAACAAGGATGAATGCAGTGTCACTGTTCGTCATTTGCTCTTGAATTCAATTTCAAATCCTGGGGGGTTTTTTTTCCCACACGTACCAAAATTTTAATTGTATGTTGCTGAATGTATATATGTAAGTAAAATTTATTTCGCACCGTACGTAGCCAACTATGCTAATCGGAGGTGAGGGGGGAAGGACAACAAACTAAACACAAAAAGTAGTTCTAAAAAAATTAGTTAAGCCGATCAAATTATGCAAAAACAGTGATGAAACTTTAACATGAAGCTATGTCAACAGAAATTGATTCCTTTATTTTGATATTCGAAGCAGAAGAAGAGTGTATGGCCTTTCACGTGCACGCTAACACAGAAATACAAATTTCGTCAAAATGAATTTAATACATGAACAATAACTGTTCCCAATAAATTATTCAAAACAGAGTCCAAATGTACGGCCTTGGAGAAACACAGTGAAGCATTGGCGGACTGATATATATTTTAATTGGAGACAATATATAATAAAACAGTAGGACAGCAACATCATTATAGGAGCATGATTCACTCACCACCCCCTGGTATACTGACGAGTGAATGAGTCAGCGATGACTCACTGTTTTCATTTGTAGCTTCAGGTACCCAGGGCTCTGTGGGAAATACATCTGTTGTCGAGTCTGCTTCAATGCCGATGTCTTCCAGCTGACTCTCAAGAACTGGGCTCACGATGAACTTGCGGCCTCCCGTGCGAACCACTGTGGAGCGTCTTGTGGCTTCTCCTTGAAGCAACAAAAATATAAATGAGAAACACACTCATTGCGTACTCACAAAGAACATGAGCTGAGGCCCGCTGCGGTGCTAATTTGATATTCCTAATGTTAAATAAAGCATTTACACAGAATGCCTGGCAGACAATAATGCTTGTAGCCATATGCGTCATTAAAAAAAACCTCATGGGGATCATGCGACATGGAAAGCCTTCTGAATTAGTGAAGGCCTCTTAGCTCCCAAGTGTCGGATTAATTGATTGCATTTACTAAAATGTTCGTTTGTTAAACTGGATATTTACCAATAACATGGTTGTCTTTTTGTTTTGGATTAGATTAAGCTGTGAGATGTGATCAATTAGGCATGACTATAAACAAAGTTACCATCTAATTTGGCCGAAGTTAACAAATAATAAATCCTGCATGTTTGCTTTATGCCGTCTGTCATGATCGCGGTTTCGGGTTCAATAAAAACCTTATAAAAAAAGATGGAAATAATTATTATTTAATTTGTAGGCTTTCATAACCAATATGATTATTCATTATTCGATAACAAAATGATAATTAAACACCTATATACATTAATTGGCTCATCATACATAGTTAACCTATGTGTCCTACTCTAAGATGTATCTTTGTAAGAAAACATGAGCTGTTTACGAGATATATTTTGGATCAAATAAATAAAATCTCAGATTTAATATGTATATATAAATGATAGGAAATGCAAAACAACAGCTTATTTTAAGGCATGGAAATGTATTCAGAAAAGCAAATTGCAAAAATAAAGCGGACAATAGGTGAACCTTTGGCATGGAATGGAATAAACGGGAGAAGAATGGTTCCACACTTGGACAACTTCAGTTTTAAAATGAGATCAGGTCTTAACTTTGTGATGGTACAACAATGTTTGCAATACAAGTGATTTAACGAGTCGGGAAATGTTGATGTGCATGGAATTCCTTCTGTATGAGCATGTAAACAGCTGCGTTAATTCTGGTTATTCAGAGCAAAGTTTTGCTTACCACAGGTAAGTGAACCCGGAGTCTTCATTGACGAATGCTGCAAAAAATTGTCATACAGATGCCAATTTTTTATTTGGCTGACATTAACATGCAAATAATAAATCCTGCATGTTTGCTTTATGCCGTCTTGTCATGATCGCGGTTTCGGGTTCAATAAAAAAACATTAAAAAAAAAGATGGAAATAGTTATTATTTTATTTGCAGGCTTTCATAACCAATATGATTATTCATAATTCAATACAGAAGCCAAGGACAGCTCTTAGAGGTTCAGTGCAATTTGCTGAGTAAACTCTTGAATAATAATAATAGAAAGAAAAAAATCACTTACACATTTTGCCAAGAGCAAAAACCGGCAATTCGCCTTGCTAACGCGATCCTGTTTTGTGTCGCTTGAGAGATGCCGGTGTGCTCGAGCGAGGTTGCATGTTCCGCGCTCCCATTTTACCTTGCATTGGTGTTTGGTGGGCTCTTTTTCCCCATCGGCATTGGTGCCATCAAGACTCTCCGTGCAGTCTCCGTCGTTCACCGGCCAGATGTTCATCTCGTCAACCTTCTCCACAATATCTTTAATTTGCTCCGTGAAAATCTCCTTTTCCGAATCCAGTATGAAGTTGTTCACCACCTGCAACATCGTATGAAATAGAATTAGCTATCTGTAACGTGACATATGAAAATGGAATAATTTTTTCACGAACAAAGGTTTTCCTGTGGGCCTAGTAAATGAACCCAGCAGCAAACCCTGCATTTAACCAGATACAAGAAATATTATTTCGTGAGACACGAAAACATTTACCAACTGAAAACTACAGGTTGAAAACAGAACCTAACGCTTATATTTAATGTTTATCATGTACATTTTACAAGCACGAAGGAAATGCAATGCTGACGCATCCCTTAATTAAATTTAGAAAACATTACCGCTGCGAGGCGATGAGGGCGACAAATTGCCGCGTGCGAAGTCTGCACATTAACGGTATACTGTGTGTCTGCACATTAACGGCATACTGTGTCTGCACATTAACGGTATACTGTGTCTGCACATTTAAGATAGCATACCATGTAATCCGCAATCTCCTCTGGGTCATCATAATCTGGCTCAAATTGAAAGGTGACCGTCTTGTGGTTGTGCGTTTCCATTTGGCATTCAACGACCTTATCTCCCTCTTCTGCAACCTTCAGCGAAACAATACAGAATGCGCGTGAGGAAGCAGCTTACAACCACACTCCAAGCAAGCGGGGGGGGGGGGGGGGGGGGCGGGTGGAGGAGGACACAAACCATTTAAAAAAACAATCCATCGTGTAAGACGGCCAGCTGCTGGTTTTAAGGGCTACAGTAATGAACTGGCAGCATTGAAACCCTGGGCTCGAATCCGGTCGCACACCTATGATTCAACCAAGTTCTCGAGTGTAGTGAGTTTATGGTGTCAGCCCAAGATGACGGAACAAAAACATCACGTTAAATAGTTTTTTTTTCCTTCACTTAATTTGGATAATTCCAGTTATGAGCCTTAAAGCTGGATATTTAGAGTTGATAAGGAGGCCTAATTTGAAGTGATTTCAGAAGCAATTCTGTGACGTCTTCCGAAGCCATTCTCTGATGCAGAATGATACATTGTTAACTGCAAACACACCCACGGTGTGACACATTTCACCTGTGGCTACACTTAAGGTACGTGAGCTGTACAAAGCACTGTATTTCAGAGCTTTAAGTGTAAACATCAGCTTCACCGCTTCAGTTATTTTAAATATGGAACCAATTCCCATTCCAAATAAATCACCGTATAAACAAGAGCATACAAATTCTATCTAATGAACACAAATACATTTCATATAGAGCTCAGCAGTTGGGACTGCCAACATCATAACCATGGATCATCTTTAAGAATTAATAACAATTTAAACGTGTGTATATAATACATGCAAACATAGCAAAATAGAAAGCCTCTGCCTTCAATCTTATCTAAAAATCCTACACAATAGGAGAAGAAGATCAGTTTAAGAGAGGAAGGAAACTTAATCAATGGAATATAACTTCATAGCAACGGGTAACTAGGTGTACAACTTAAAATACACAACAGCAGCCGGTCACGTACGGGTACGGAACTTTTAATAGAACCCATCCATCATCTCACATTGAGAATGGTGACGCGTGGCTTGACAGACTTTTCCTGCCGGGACTTGCGATTGGACCTGCGAATTCTCCTCGCGTGTCTGCCGTCCACTCTGCTGCTTCCGCCAGTCGTCTCGTTCTCGCTCAGCTCTTTAGCGGACGTGGCGTCGGAGGCCATGCTGCAGGAGAACACACAACAAGAGAGGGCCGGAAAGTCTTTGGGAGCACGATACTATTCACGGACAGTGGTGTGTTTATCCTTTTGAGATTACATTGATAGTTAACACCGACAGCCTTTTCTCAATCCACGACTGGATGAAATGAAGGCCGAGCCACCCTGTGTTGGTCGTGGGGTTTATTTGACCATAAATGCACCAAGCTGGTCAGTGACGGTCTTACTGGACATCTTTGAAAAAGAGCTGTATAGCTCATTGGATTCCTCCAGTATGAGTAAATATTCTGATTGTGGTTCTGAAAGGGGGGGGGGCCCTCAGGACACGGTTCAGATATCGCTCACCACTGATGTTAGGAATGGCTCAAGAGTTAAACCCTGATCGCAGGGATCGAATTCTTACATCCGTAACAAATGCTGTCCGTGTTATTAACAAACATTGGTGAAATATAACATTTTATGCGATGCACTCCAATTCATACATTTCTCATGTGGTAAGATAAGCGATATGTAAAAAAAAAAGAAACATTGGATGCAAAAAAATGTATTTGAAATGCGTGCATGCTGTTTAATGTGACCGCGTATAATTTAAACGTGTGACTTGTGTGAAAATTCCTATTACGCATGGAATTTCCGCAACACAAAAAAATTATAATCATGTTAAAGCAGTCTCTGGGATTAAACTCAACGTGTGCAGACAATGGGGGCCACAAACAAATGTGGATCCACTTTTGGGAAAAACAATTACAAATCACATGCTTACCTCTCGTTCATAGTTAATCCTTGGGCGATCTGTGCTTCATTCATTTCACTTGGGTTATCGACACCAGAGCTGGACACCTATGAAAATGCATTGCCACCAGTTATTTTGTGGATGTTATTTCGTAGGTATATTAATTTCGTATAAACCGTTAAAAGCATACGAATATAATCCTGTTAGCCCTGGCTCTCTTTCTAATTAAAACCAAAGGTTTGATGGGATTTTATTAATTGATCAAGCTCAGTGGTGAGTTAATGTCACATACACCACCCCAAAGCAATAACATAGTGATGTTAATAGCCGAAAGAGATGAACGGCCGATGACTCACGTAATTAACAAGCAGAACTTCACACAGAGGCCAGACTTACAGCAAAATGTCATTGAACAAAACGTGGCAATACGGTCAAGTACATGACAAATGCATCACATCAGTTTGATTGAATGGACAAGCTTTTCCGACACCGGCAAAAAAGTCACGGCACATTCAAATTGAATATTCTCTCCTGTAAAGTTCGGTAAAGGCTGGCATACATCATGACGTATGAATATCATTAAAAGCGAACGTTGCTCAAAAAGATCAAGGACACATTTCTTACAATGACACGGTTCGCATCCTAAACTAAACTATTAAACTAAACAATTTTTTTTATTTTACCAGGTAAGACCCACTGAGCTATACAGCTCTTATTCAGAAGCAACCTGGCCACAAATGATACCTGAACGAAGTGGCTTATCACGTGGAAATTTATATCAGCCATATATTCTATAAAACGCATGTTTATAAATGTGGAGGAAAAAACCGAAGGACCCGGAGAAAAATCCACGCGACCACGGGGAGAGAGATACATGCAACTCAAAATATACAACAGGCGGCAGGCTCGGGTTGAACCCACGACCTCCTTCACACCCGACGAGGTAGTTAACATCTCGCCACCAGTGGAACCCCCCCCCCCTAAGAACAAATGCTAGTCGATTCAACCTCTGTGCAAACGTACCTCTTCTTGTACCTGTCGTGGAGGCTGGGCCGGAAGTCCCCGTGTGGCGTCGTGCTCCTGACCGCTCGGCATGGGGTATAAGGGCGCCACGTCCGTCGCGCTCTGCACGGGGACGTCCAGAGTTGCGTCACGAAACTGCATCGTCTCAGGAGGCACCACACCTCCCGTGTCAACGGCGGATGCAGTATCGATGCCAGCAGTCACTTTTGACTGAATCTCAGGGCCGACTTCGTGAGCCGTTGGCAGCGAGGGTGAAATCACGGTCTGTGGGCAGATCGCAAGCAGCAACGAGATTTTTGTGGTGAAACAAACGGTCAGTAATTTTATCCAATGAATTAACACACACAAATGCATGTGCTTTTGACACTTCGTATATACGCACGAGGCCTATAAAGAAATCAATCCTGTCACATCTTGGAATCTAAGCAGGGTTTTTGTGCCTGGATAATGCTTGGATGGGTAACCATCATGCATAACAAATATCATTGGCTGTGAGACATTGTTGTCCTGTACTTCTGATTCTAACCATACCTATGCTGTCTGCCATCACCAACCCACATTTTGCATATGGGTAAGTAAGGTCAAAAATCAAGTCTCTACCCACATTGAAACCAGCATTGGGCACTTCTTAACGTCATCAGCAGACCTGCGCGAATGATCAACATTCAACTTTTCTATTAGTGACCAATTTACTCACAGCACAACCACTGCAGACATTCTATAAAATGGTGCATATTTTTATAACAATTGCTTATTATAACTGTAACAAAGCAAATGAAGAAAACACCGACAACATTCGTCATTAAACCCCTCTGGGGTGAAGCAGTGGCACAGTGATTAGCGCGCTGATTCTAGGAGGTCATGGCTAACATAAACACCTGAACCATTCCTGCAGTCCCCTTCACCTCCTCGAACTGACCACAGTAGTGAAGTACGGTCAAACAATTCCAATGAGCAACACGGCATGGGGAGGCCTTCATCCAACAGTGCACTGACAAACGAATTGGTCACCTGCGTCTGCGTGTCAATGGAGACCATCAGTTGATCCGCGAGTGGCGCTTGCGTCGTCTGCGCAGTTCGAGGAGCCGACGGCAACCGATGAAGATGGCCGGCGTCGGTGGCCGGAGGCAGAGGCGGCGGCAGCGGCGGCAGCGGAGGGTGCAATGAGGGGCAGTGCGGCCGAACAGCCGGGTCGGCGAGTCCCACGGCGCACTGCACCGGAGTGTCCTGCCCAGCGGCGGTGGCGACGCCGCTCAACGGCGCGAGTCGAGCGGGGGTCATGGGGGCATCGCTGGTGCTCAGCTGGGCAGCGCTCGCCTGGGGGCAACGCAGGTCAAGTGTTAGAGAGATTCAGCAAGCGAACACAATGGCTCCAGTGCCATGAAACGTAATGACAGTAATTCTCATTTGCAATGAACATTTCATCCGTAACAATTATTACATACAATAATTACAACCATTTTTATTTCACCAAGGCTCACTGAGCTATATAGATATTTTTTCAGAAGTGACCTGGCCACAATTGATCGCCCAATGAAGTGGCTTATCCAGAGGAAATGTATTGCAGCCAAGTACTCTGAACGCATGTTTCTAAATATGGAGGGAAAAACTGGCACATCTGGAGGAAAAAACTACGCGACCACGGGGAGATCGTGCAAACTGCAAATATAGAGGCATCAGGGTCGGGATCAAACCCACGACCTCCTATCTTGCCACAGTGACGCCATACCCAATTACTTGGGTATTTACTAAACGATACACGAGAGTACTGCCATCGCTATATTAAAGTACTGCCGATTTTGTAATGTCTAATTGTGCTTATCACAGCCAAGTTTGAGTGTTATCCGCTCACAAATGTTCGTGGAGCGTTGCTCATCTAGTATGTATAGCCCTGAGCCAGTGGCAGAAATTGCACATTTTCATGGACAGGGACCAGTCTAAGCGTAAAAAAGATGACGAATGTCAACTGCCCACAAAGTGGTACTCATTTTAAACATAATTTGGAGCTTTCGTGACTGCAGGAATTACTTTTTGGTTCTTTCGGTAAGTCACGTAGAAAGAAAATAAATTAAATTTTCTTTCTACGTGACTTTACCGAAATAACCAAAAAGTGGAACTCGTTTAATCAATCTTGGAGGGATGAATCACTGAATCACTGACTGGGATTCGAAATTGTCACCTTCCAAATGCTAGCAGTTTCAAGCTCTAAAACACAATGTCGCGTGGCCATTTGTTACACGATAATTTATTATAATAAATGTAAAACATTCGTGAATGAGTGCGGGAGTATCTGATAAGACTTTCTATGAATGGGATAGAAAGATAAATATCGGCACAGATGTAGCACAAAAAGAGTAAAGTCGATGCTTATAACCCCCCCACCCCAAAACATTCGACTTTGGACTCTGCAATGAATTAGAGTTCAGAGATTGATAGGCTTAACCTACAATTCTAAACTGGTTTAAGTCCCCTGCTGAACACTTTACAAAAATACGATCCCCAATCAACAGCGAACTATGTATTCATAAAAGGTTTTTAGGTTATATTGCATAAGTATGTGTCGTAATCCTCCACCACCCGACACAGCCAGTAAGGTTTGTCACGTAAACAAAACGTGCCAATTAGTTACTACTTCAGCTGACCGGTCTTCTGAAAAATAAATCCACACCATTTACAATTTGAGTAGTACGACGTTTCGCTGGTTATTACATCCCAGCATCCACAACCTTACTGGCTGTGTCGGGTGGTGGAGGGTTACGACACATTTAAACTTACACGATCTATTCCAAAAACCTCTATGAATAATATTGGTCAAGAAAGCCTATAAATTAAACCGTGACTTTACCGAAAGAACCAAAGAGTATGAACCAAGTAATTTATCCCCCATGCTTGTGTAATGTCACAGAAAATGGAAATTGGGCAAAGTCCATAACCCAAAACTAGATATGTTATAACTCACAATGATCATCGTAATTATATCAATATGTAACATATTCTAGATTTGAAGCTTTCATGACTGCAAAGATCCACACTCTTTGGTTTTATTCGGTAAAGCAACGTCGAGATTTTTGTTGTTTTATTTTTATTTTTACCTACGTGACTTTACCGAATAGAACCAAAGAGTACGTAACATATTGCCTGCCATAAAAACTGAAAATATCCTCGTGTTAATATGTACGAAAGTACGACTAACAATGTCACGACTATAATGGTTACGCATGTAGAAAGTCCTACAAGGCTGTCCTTACACTTAGGTCACGCGAAGTGGCACTGGGGAACACACCGTTCCCACCGTTACAGACAGTCATGTGCAGTTCAGTTCCAAACGGAGGTATTGTCCTATTCAATTATTCAATAGATTTGTTCTTTGTAATCTCCAATGAACCAGAATATCGTGAAATAAATAATGTTTTCTTGATGGCAGTTCTATGAGAGCTCAGTTCGAACATAATTACCCAAAATAATATATGAAGCAATGCATTTGACATTTCACACGTTGAATAAAATTAACATCTGCAGGCCCTTTCAGGCACGACATAATAAATTAATGGCTATGTGAATGTTTGAACACTTAAATCTGTCCATATCACCATTACATTTCAAGTTTTGCATTCTATAGCATAACCAACAAAAAAAAATGTTTGACTGGCAATCACTCGTGTTGGATTGCAATGAACAGCTCTTTAAGCGAGTCACAGGATAAACAATCCAATTTCACCTGCATGACCCCAGAGTACGTGGGCAGTGGTGGGGTGAGAACAGCAGAGACATCCAAAGAGACAAAACCCACATGCTGGCTTGGGGCCATGGCTTCTGTGTATTGCTTTGAAGGGGGGAAAGAAAACCAAACGAGATCACACCTAAGGCCACACTGCGTTCACAAGTCACACTTACTGTTCGAGGAGTGCGTTTGTACACTCGCAAAAACAGAGGGAAAGACTAATATCACGCCGTTTGTAAATCGATTGTTTCAAGTTGCACACAACACTACATTGCCACTGGCTGACTTACGCCGCGCAAGCTCTCCTCCTCCCAGCTCCCCCAATGTCTACTCCGACATTGTCTACTCCGACATTGTCTACTCCGACATTGTCTACTCCGACATTGTCTACTCCGACAATGTCTACTCCGACAATGTCTACTCCGACATTGTCTACTCCGACATTGTCTACTCCTGCATTGTCTACTCCTGCATTGTCTACTCCGACATTGTCTACTCCGACATTGTCTACTCCGACATTGTCTACTCCGACATTGTCTACTCCGACATTGTCTACTCCGACAATGTCTACTCCGACATTGGCACTGGTTCACTGGCTGCCCCGCCCATGCTGTTTGCGCCGGGCAGCCTCTCCCCCTCCCAGCTCTCGTCCCCTGCCCACTCACTTTGGAAGCCCTTAGAAGCAGTTGCATTTGGAGGCTTGCCCCCCTATTTTCTCTCCGCCCGATGAAGACCGTTGGGGGTTGCGGTCGAAACGTCGTGGATTTTTTTGCTTTTATTATTTTCAATTTATTATTTTTATTTTCTATCTACGTGACTTTACCGAAAGAAACACGAATATTTGCACACGACAGTTTTCGGTTGGATGGAACTCGCTTTGAGAGTGGTTTCTGTCGGTACATTTAAGTCCAAGTCAACATCTATTATCATGTATTAATGATATTTAGAAATCATCGGTTTACAAGAATAATGTTAATTAAAGTGCAGAGTGGGTACTTTAGAGAAAGATGCACTGAAGCATTCAAGCTGTCACTTTAGATTTGTATTTTTAATTATCCTTCATTAATCTTCAATTTCATTTCAGACAGCTGAAATATACAACCTTGGTGCAAACCTTTACATGAGGCTTATTTGTTGACTTGGGTTTGGTCTTCCTTTACACATTGCAATTCATATTCATAGTAGGTTTGAAGACATCATCATGGCCAAATGTCACCGACGGCTCGCACCTTGCCACCGTTTCATTACCTCTTCTGTCAGATTCCGCAACTTCTGCCAATTCATTTCTGGGTGGAGGAGGGGAGGGGGGGGGGTGGTGTGCTTCAATGTGACATTATAAGGCGCAGGAGACCAAGCAAGCGTGCGTACCTCTTGTGGCTGGGTGCACATGTAGATCTGTGACGTGTGATCAGACTGCACATCTTGCTGCTGCATGTAGGCCGCTGCCTGCACCGCTGACTGCGCCGCTTGCTGGAGTCCATTAAATGTGCCCTGCTGACAAGGCGGCGGCTGTTGCGGCTGTTGCTGCTGCTGCAGAGACTGCACTGGCACCTGCTGCAAAGGGTCAATTCCACGAGCACGAGAACATTATTAGCGGCCTGGGTGGTGGGAGGGCGGCCTGGGGGCAAGGTAAAGTTAACAGCTCAGTGGGCTTTACCTGGTAAAATAAGCATTCATAGATATTCATACACTTTGCACCCCTATCGTGTTTTCGTACTGTTTGTTGTCGTAACTTTATGATCCGCCCCAACTGGACATCTGTGAAAAAGAGCTTCAAAGCTCATCGGATTTATCCCGCATAAATATTCTTATTCCGAAGTTTTTTTTTTTATTACGAGACGCGATTAAGCTTTGGCCCGGAATGCGAACGTGCTCAACGCACAACGCAGATGGGTGAATTGTTCACGACGAATAAAACCACGACGACACAAAACACAGGCACATTTTTGGCTAAAAATGCTCCCTGCCTGTGAGCGCTGAGTACAGAATAATGCATTGTCGTCATATAAACCGGGGTAACAGAGTAATGCTTAAGTGCAGCTTCTACGCATGGCAAGTTTCTAAATGTTACTAGTAATGTTTAAGCTCTCCCCATGCCGTGCAAGTCATCAGCCCCACATTTCAACCACACTGGTCAGTGTGGGTTGGTGAAGGGGGCTTCCAGCACTGTTTCAGATATCACTTGCCACTGTAGCTGGGAAGCAGACCGAAGTCGTTGTATTAATAAACGTAGACATGGAATATGGATTAATAGACAGTATGTATACATCTGTACGATAGCAACGTAGCAACGCATTTGTAATATATATTTTAAAGCAATTGGCAATGTTTCGGTTCCTGAAGTATATTCAAGTAATTTCATAGACGAGATGCTTTTTATTGCTAGTCATATGAAGGCCAATTCATATGTTCAAAACCTGAAATTTGGAAAATTGGAACTTGGCACTAAAAACACAGTGGGATTTATTTAAATAGACATGACTCACTGCTGCTAGTCACTGTGACATAAAACAAATCCAGAATACTATGAGCCAATAATGTTTGTGTGTAAACGTGTGTGACGTCACTCCACGTCGATCAGCCCCCCTCATTAATAATTATGAACAGGTGGGTTCTTCCACATGGACCCCCCCCACCGTCATAAATAATATTTTCGGGTGACGTTACTCCACATGGAGAACTCCCCCCCCCCCCCCCATTAATAATCATGCGCAGGTGACGGCACACCACATCTAACAGCTCCCCTCATTAATAATCATTATAAGGTGACGTCCTCCAAACGCCCCCCCCTCATTAATAATCATCAGCGGGTGACGTCACTCCCCATGGGGGGGGCGAGGTTCCTCCTCCACCCTCCTCAGCGTCAACTTACAACCCTCACTACAAAGGCAGAACCCTCACGTCACGTGATCTCCGTGATGCTGTTGAGACGTAGAAGTAAAACGGACGTCATGATGAACCAGGGATTATAAACTTTAAATGAAATAAGTCTGTCACCACGGCCTTACAAATTGCACACTAAAGGATGCAATGAATATCACGTCGCGGTCTGATTTTCGCTTGAATATTTCAGATTTACTGCAATACACCCGTTCTTGGAGGGGCTATAGGCAAGTTACAATATAATCTGCTTTATACAGCCATTACAGAAAAAAACATGTCCTTTATTTTGCATAAAAAGCATTTATATTAAAAAAAAAATCACATTAGCATCATCAAATTGTACAGCTTTCTTGAGACCAATCTTCAGTTTTTTTTTAAATTCAGCTCAATAGGGTTTAGTAAGGCCAAGTATTTACTTTTAACATCCACCCAAAACCAGAGGAAAAAGGAGCTTTGGTCTTTTTAATCAAAGGTCACTAATTACCATCATATTCTTATTACATTATCCTGTGTAACGTAATGTGTAATTAATATCTACCTGTTGAGGGTGAGCCATGTAGTAACAATTTCCATACTAAAAGGAAACAAATCCAAAATAATAATTCAGCGAGGGAGCAATGTACACAGACATATGATGCACCGCATTAATGCAATCGTATCATCGAGAAAAATCGAATAAGGATAATGCAGAGCATCGCATATGTGGTCATGGAGAGGGCAGGGTTACATAGACATGGATGCATCGGATTGTTCACAATGTTCCAGGAACCTAAGAGGCAGGATAGTCACCTCCCTTTCGATTGCTGCAGGCCTCTCTATGCAGCGTGCCATGCAATTTGTATCGCAGTTCTGCGACAAGGCCAGACCGATAAGTGATGAATGCCAAAACACTGCGCGCAGCTTTGGCCATGAAAGGCTTATGGTTACTTGGAAGGACAAAGTGATTGTGTCCCCTTCGACTCCAGAAACTGAATTTAGTATATTAAAGGGATTATTTGCCAGCATGCACAACCCGAGATCGGACATCTCAATTAGGTTAATGTCCCGGAGATGGATATTGTCAAACACTGCGGAAAGGAAAGTTTCTATTCCAATCATCCAACGCAAAAAAAAACAATTGCATGTATTTCGTATGGCATTTTGGGAGGGATGTTAATTTATTCATTTTAAATTGTGGAATACACATATATGAAGATTCCACTTCGCATTTCATCGACTGGTCAGGGGTGATATGGCCAGCAACGTGGCCACCTGCCATTGTTCCCCTCGATGATAACGTTCACATACTGTCACCAGGAACTTATTTAAAACCGAGTTGGCTGAGAGGAGACGCAGAGCATGGTTCTAATACCACTTTCTACTGACATTAACCATGGCCGGGAAATTAACTCAGGTCACCGGATTCAGAGAGGAGTGCACTCAACAACGATGCACCAATTTCTACTGACAAGCCAACCCACGCATGCATGCCCTGAGAGGCTGCAATATATAAGTATCTAATCTGGCAGCCCAGTTTGAATCACTGTAAGTCAATGAAATCGCAACCCACAATTTCCCTTACTACACAAAATGGATTGTTCCCTTTAACTTTAATACTGAAAATTACAGGAGCTGCCAGTACAACGTGCTTGGACCGGAAAAGGACAATGAGAAAAAAAACAAAGCTAACCTGTTGACCATGCTGACAAGGTGCTTGCTGCAGGGGAGGCTGATCTGATGGGAAAGGTTGCGAATATGGCTGGGGCAGACAGCATGTCTGCAAAAGACCTGGAGACTGTTGGCAAAAAATAAGCGTCGATAAATGACAACGATCTTGCACTGAATGAATTTGTATTCATAAAAATAATATCTAAGACAATTAAAGAACACGCTATCATGTGGAAATACAGTTGGGAGTGGCACCGTAATAGTGGTGCAATATATATCACACAGTCAGTGATTTTTTTATAACCACTGATATGTTAGCTTCTGAATTAACGTATTCTGCAAAATTAGCACCACCACATTAAATGTAACTCTGCAACTTGCATCACTTACTGATCGAGGCCAAAATATAAAGAGCAAAGATGAGCAACAAAAACAAATCGTTAAGACATTCAAAGAGATGTTAAAGAGAAGAAAAAATGTAGCACGCGAACAAAAGCGGTGTTACTGTCAATGACACGTATCACTTAATTCCAGACCGATTAAACAGCAATAATACTCTTTACCTTGGACACCGGAAGGAAAAAAGTGGGAAAACCGTAAAAGTTGTCAGGAGCAGCAACAGGTGGGTGGAGGTGAGGAAAACCGTTGGGATGACCGAGCAGCATTGTCTGCTGCACGTAAGATGGCCCAGGCATGCCGACCTGAGCCTGGTAAGCCTGGGAGAAATTGTCCAGCGTGGAGCACCGGTGCAATCTTTTGGAAGCAGACCAGGGGTCATTGAAGGTGGCGCAGGGGAAGTACGGAGGGTACGACTGCACAAGCGGGTTCGGTTGAAGCTGGTAACCATGCATCGGGACGTAGGAGGGCTCTGCGGGGTACTCGGGCATGGGACACCTCCTGTAGTCGCCCTCCTGTGTCCTGTCCCCAACGTCGCAAGTTTTGGGGTCTGAGCCGCCAACCGGCAGGTGGGGGGAGGTGGTCAGCCCGTGATCGGTCACCACCACTTGTGGCCTCTCGACCAGCTCAAACTCCTCCACCTCCGAGTACACGTCTTCCGTCTCATCGTCGGAGTCGTCCGTGGGGCTAGGGAAGGTGAACACCGAGAAGCTGCCCACAGAGCCGTCGCAGCTCAGCAGGTACAGGGGAGATGTGAAGGGAGTCGAAAGCTGTGCGCCACCTACCGCTTGCGAACCGTCCGCGCCACCTACCGCTAGCAAACCGTCCTTGGTCGTGGCGCCGTCGAGTGCTCCGCTGCTGGCCGGGGCAGCCGACGACGCGGCATTGCCCGGCGGCTCGGGCTGGGGTGGCTGGTGCGCTGCTCTCCCGGCAGCCTCCCAGTGCTCCACCCGAGAGGGTTGGTATCTCGCCTCGACCGCCGGCTGCACCACAATGGGGGGTCCATGCCGCTCGGAGCACGGGGCAGCGGGGGCCGAGTGGGGGATCGACTTGATGGGCGGGGCGACTGAGCATTGTCCGGTGGCCAAATTCAGCGAGTCGAGGGTGGCGCTCGTGGGATGGCAATAGCAGGCGCCGGCTTGTGGAGACGGGCAGTAAGGGACGTGGCACACATGCATGGCTTGCTGCGTGCTGACCAGGAGGAAGGGGGAGGCAGGGGGAACTCCGTAGGCCATGCCGTGGACACCCGGGACAGGCTGCATGACGAGCTTTTGCGCCGGAGGAAGGACGTGGTATACGAGCGGGTACTGAAAGCTCTGCAACGACGGCGGCAGAAGCTGAGCGGCACCGCCGTCGGACGAGCCGGCGGTGCCGGGAAACTGCTGCCGCGGCGGAGCACTTGGAGGGCTTCCAGACAACCTGTCCGACGGCGGGTGGGCGTATATGGACGGAGGTTGGTAACGATGCCCCGGAGCGACTCCGCACCGCGCCGGGGTCGGGCGAGGGAAGGGCTCGTCCGGCTGGCCATGAGCGGCGTAGGCGTAACAGCCGCAGTCGGGAGGATGGCCCAAGGGATTCTGCCTGCTTTGCGCACCGTGCCGGTCGTGCGCGAAGGGTGGTGGCTCGCTGGATGATCGCTGAGCGGCGAGGCGCTGCATGCTAGCCAACGACAGCGCGATAACCTGCGAGTAGCAGTGCTTAGCTCCCCGCGACAGGGCGCGGCTAACAGCCCGGCGGATGGGGCGAAAATGCTGCGCTGGTGCCTCGAGGATTGATGTGCTTCCGCGTCTATGCAAGTGATGGTCTATAGGAAGAAAGCCAAGCTGGGAGGAGGAGGAGGAGGAGCGACGTGGAGGGGGTATTTCAAGAGAGGCTAGCTGAGCCGCGTCCTCAAGCCGCTAACAAGTGTTGGGGGGGGGGACAGGACCGAAATATGGGAGGCGAAAAGGAAAATGATATAATGCACACAACGCCAAAAAAGAAAGTGTTAAATTTAAACCGCACGTAACATCCGGCCAAGGAAACCTGCACAGCCCTGCTGACATTGTGATAAATAATACGGAGGCATATCGATTCAAAATAAAAAGGGGTGTTCACAGGCTACATTCTGAATATGGAAGGCCGAGTGCGGTAACATTTATTCAAGCAAAGCAAAATGAAAAATAAAAATGCATGATAAATAAAATTACAATTTATACATATATAAAACATACAATGTTTAAAAACCACCTCAATAAATCATAAATGTGTGATATTGCTTTGTTCACCAAATTATATAATTGCAATTTTTATTTATTTATTATACTGCACAAAAATGTATTTGTGAAATTATATACCCTTTGCCTAGTGACCAGGTACCAATCGCCACACGACTGTAGAAGCTATAAATGTAGGAAGCTTCATGAATGCTTAATATGCTTGGGCAGATAAATTGCCATTAAGTTTATATTATTGGTGCAATAACACGTCACGGCATATTTTGTACAGACATTTAAGTGTAAGGAACATACCCCAACAGAGACCTCTCCGCGTGTAGGTAAAAGCAGTGGCGATTGCAATACAAGTGTGTACAGTGTGGTCTGCCAATGAATACTAATACCTGGGCCTAGACGTCAAGCCAAACTGACCATTACAAATTCTGCACGGTAATCGTTACCAGACTGCAGTCATGGCCCATAGTCTGGGCCATATAATCTAATGACTGCCACGAGTGTAAAACTGATGACTTCTCTTTTTTCCTCATGCACATAATGCATTTTAATCGGCACGAAAACAAAACATAAGCCTGCAGTAATGCACTTGCCAAAGGGACAAAAAAACGTGCTAGACACCACTGAACACTATTTGTTTTAACCTTGTCATTGTCACATGTGTAAATGTGAACGTCTACCATGATAATGAATTTGGGGAGTGGTGGCAGAGTGATTGGCAGACTGCACTATAACACCGGCAATCTGAGTTCGATATATGGCCAAGGCTAACATCAACGGCGATTGATATCAAAAAGGTTGTGGGCACTCTTCCCCCCACTCACCATCCCTCAATGGCCAGCATGGTGAAGTATAGTCAAACAACCCTCATGACTGGCACAATATTCTGTTGAATATAGGCTAAAAGTAATCATTCTATTTAAATCATATATAATATTAAAAATCACTAATAACCAATATCATGAGAATGCGATTGGAATATTATGCCGAATAATTTAGAGTGAATACGTGGTCAGTCATGGGGGGGGGGGGGGGGGTGGTTATACTTCACCACACTAGTCAGTGTGGGTTGGTGAAGAGGAGGGGAGGTGGATCGTAGCGCAGTGCGCTGACCATTCCACCGCCACTCCCTCCTCCAACACCCCAATGCGGTGTGGCGTCTATGTGAATTCATCCCCATCTATTGTAAAACAGCGATGCCAAATGTCAACGCAGAGAAACATAAATTCCTGGCGTAAACGCTGGCCCGGTCTTTCGTGAATTCCAAAGCCAGAACGTTCTGCATCAGTGTGCAATATGCATGCACGCGTGCACGCTCTGTGCTGCGTGTATGCATTGAGAGACGGGATGCAATGTTCCTAAACAATTCAACAGGGGGAGAATGCGGAGAATAAAACCCCTTCATTTAAATCAGAAGCACAATAGTGAGCGCATACAGTGCAGAGCCAAAAGCCTTTCACTTGCGGGCAAGGGGGACATCTTATTTTTCGATTTAAAGCTTTCGTGACTGCAGGGATTCATCTTCTTGGTTCTTTCGGTACAGTCACGTAGAATGGAAATAAAATAATAAAAATAAAACATAATAAAAAGATGTACATTTTTTATTGTATTTCCATTCTACGTGACTTTACCGAAAGAACCAAGAAGAGGACATTGTATTGTTATACAGGGATATTGTAACAGGTCCCAAACCCCTGCAATGCTGGCTGTTTAATGCTTAGAAATGCACGATGCTAATTCCCAAACTAACACGGCCAATAAACGGAAGCAAGAGCTAATTTTGGAGTAAAAACGACTAGTTACTGTAATCCCCTCCAGTGAAGCTGTCAGCATTGCCGCAGCCTTTGTCCAAAAGCAGCTCTGCTCCACAGCCCCCGCGGGTACGCGTTTACCAGATGAGCAAGTGCCGAGTCGACAATTAGGCCAGGACAGAAGAGCAAGTTCACAGGCACGTGCGTGCATCGCCGTCATCGCCTCCGTGAATGCCAAAGTCAAGCGCTCAGGAGCAAAGCCAATCTAATTTTAATGGATACGTCGCTGGCGGCAGGCGAGGTGGTGAACGCAGGAAAGGGGTTGCAGAGGTTTCGTGTCCCCGATTGTGCAAGCTGAGCAGAAAACGGCGCACTCCTTTAACATTGCTCCAAGGTCAAGCGAGATCCCCCGCTGCAGCAAAGGACTAATTGGAAGGCACGGCGAACGGTGCTGTGGGATAATTGTGGGATAATTGTGGGATAATTGACATGCGCGTGCCAACGGGGCAGCAGTGCTTCCGAGCGCAAAGAGTAGGGAGATTTAAGGACAGCGAGGTTCAAGATGATTGTCGCACGAGACGGGGGTTCCAAATGAGTTACCACTTGAGATTGTGCCACAATGCATGGGGCTTGCATGCAGCTATATCCAGCTACATGCTTCCAAACGCTGGTTACAATATTAGTGACGCTAAATTCGAACCCTTCCTCTGCCAAAACATATAAGACATGCTGTCATTCACGAACACGAGTCTCTCGACTGAGATAATAAATCAGCACTTTTGTCAATCCACTGTTAGATGAAGTTCTGCACACATCGTGGTAGAAAGAGGATTTTTTCAAACAAAATATTTCACAATATGGCTCAATGCGGGCTGGTTAAGGATGCAGGATCCATTCAGATTTCACTCGCCACTGATGTTAGCCTTGAGCCAGAATCAAACTCAGGGGTCCATAGTGCAGTGCACGCTAACCAGTGGACCACCGCTCCCCTCCTCTACTTGAGTTAGATGTAAATAATTCTTAAACTATGGACACAACATTTGTAAATCACGACCCAGAGGACTCAACTAAGCAATATCGTATAACATTCTTGGTCAAGCGGCGCAAATGACAGATTCTGGGGGGCACAGAGCAATGAGCCAGCACCTTGGTTTGGATCCTGGTTTAAGCCTTACGTGATTAGACCAGGTCCGTATGTATGCATTTATGTTGGACTTCGTTAGCGCCGTACGTAGCCACACCACGCTAATGAGAGGTGCGGTTCGAGTGTCGCAAGTTGAAGATCTCAGTGCAAAAAAAAAACGCATCGGAATATTACATTTGGCTTTTTGCTTAACTTGGCATGAGGTTTATTAAAGTAACTTGATAAGTAAAATTTCGATTTAAAGCTTTCGTGACCGCAAGGATTCATCTTCTTTGGTTCTATCGGTAAAGTCACCACGTAGAATGGGAAAAAAATAATAAATTGATAAAATAAAATAACGCAATAATATTCTCACGACGGCCTTCATGAAGGCCGCTTGTGTTGTGGCCGAAACGTCGTGAGAATATTATTGTGTTATTTTATTTGATAAATTTATTATTTGATTCTCATTCTATGTGGTGACTTTACCGAAAGAACCAAAGAAGATGAACTTGATAAGTAGTTCTGCGACATTAACCTCTAAGGACTTTTCCCGACACACGGTTGGTGACACACCTGCTAGCTTGCAAGAGTTAAAAATGCAAAAATCATCTCATGACGTCATGCGGAAAACACAATTTGAAAATAAGCGGGGGCAAATGTAAAAACCGACGAATACACGAGAACACTGATACTCTCTCACCTGAAGACGGTTGCTTGTGCTGTAAATCAAAACGTCGTGATTTTCTTTTTTTTTATCTACGTGACTTTACCGAAAGACCCAAAGAGCATCAATTCCTGCAGTCGCGAAAGCTTTAAGTCAAGATTGAACACTAAATGCTATGAAAGTTCTCTCCAAAGTTGCCAACAACAAAAGTCAAGAAAATGTTAACCACATTAAAAACATTTTTTTAACATTTATATTGTAATCTATACAAAAAAGAACCTTCCATGGTGGGAAAGTTCAGGACTGCAGTATTAAGTTACGCACATATGTGCTGAGTTTTGACAACTGCAATGCACAGACGACACTATTCTTGGCGTCCAAAATCCCTTTCTGAAGTGCAGTCACGACCTTTGCCGTCACATCGCAAACCGGCCTTGGCCGCTTGTAGAAACGTACAATCGTCAAAAAAAATAATTATACTTAACACACAGATGAATACAAAATGTTTGTTTTACATCAATGTGGGCAACCATTCATGCCAACATAACCGTGGCCACTGTGGGAAAAGTTCCTTAGAATTTAACACCATGTGGAGGTTGCTCAGAGGTCGTAGGAATTATCTTGCACCGATGAGAGTCTCCGTTTGAATCCTAGGCGTACGCCTGCGATTAAAACGGGGTTCCCAAGTTTAGCGAGTCGCTAAGTCTCAGTCTGGTCACCAATTAATGTAAGAAACAAAATCAGCACACCGAATGTGGTTCTGCATTTCATTTGGCTGAACTCCAGGTGTGAGGATTACAGGCGTTGGTCTGGCTGTTACGGAACAGACATTACTCTCGTTCGACAGGACAAGTGGGAAAAAGTTCCACCCTCTGTGTGGACCAGAAGTCAACGGAAGTCATCTCAGAGATAGCGTTGGGGCTGTTTCTCTCACCGACAAGGGTAACGCACTACTTTGCAAGATATATTAATCGAAACCCCATCTCGTGACGTGCCACAAAATTGGGGGAGAAATCACGTGAATAGAGCGGTGACAGCACATAAATGTGCGCCCAGTGGTGTGCGTGAATGGCCGCGGGCATTAAAAAAACGTGGAAAAGACGCGAGCCGACCACAGAGGGCTTTACAAATTACCATGCATCTGCTCTTTGGGGGCTGACGCGCATTGCCGCCACGTAATAACACAAAGCAGACCCATCTGTTCTAGATCAGCAGGCCTTAAAAGCGCACACAAAGTGGGTGTAGTCTTTAAAGGCACGGCTGTGACCTATAAAACTTGAACTCCCCAGGGTCTCCCCTTACCCTCATCCCCAGACGTTGTTCCCCCCCCCCCCCCCCCCCCCCCCCCGTCAACTCACTTTTGTAACAGAGGTCCAAATGAAAAGCAAGCCATGACTCTTGGCCGTATTTCACTGCAAATTACATTTGCATCAGAGCTTCACATCGAAGGCGCTGTATCGGAGATGTCATCCGTGCCATTGTGCGCACATGGCCATTTCTCTATGGCAACGCAACATTCGACTTGCTCTCGTGTCCAGGCAACGGCTTTTTTTTTTCTCAATGCGCCTATATAACCTTCAATCACTTGCCGAGGCACAGATAACATTGCGTGCGTTCGCGTAAAATGCCAGTCGGGTCACAGTACCCCCCATTCATTGACTAAAAAATGACAGTCATGGCAAGCCGTTGCCAAGCCTCGGCCCAACTCGACAATTTAAGCAGCGATTACGTTGTTTCACATTTACTGTGTAAAAAAATATATATAAACCCCGTTTTTAAATGGAATACATTCTGCAGAAGCTCTCAAGCATTGAAACATATTTATGGTCAACATTGCGATTGAATTACAGAGTACAAAGTAAATTTCTGACCGAACAGGCCAGACAGTAAAACGAATGATTCAACCCATTTCAGAGCAGGGGTGAAGTTATTCACCCTGTCAGCACTTCAACGCATTGTCACGATGCAGAGTCATTATTTGATTCACAGAGCCAATGACTATTTTATACTTTTCGTTGTGTATATAGTAGCAGTGGCTGCAGGGATGAAGAGAACCAATAACACACCACATATGTTCACCTAAAAACAACATGTGATTCGCTATACGTATCTTGAGATTGAGAATCAATATTCATCGATGAATTGATGCACATTTTTAAACCGACATTTCAGCGTCAGGGAAGCGGGGCCTAATTATAATTTATAAATAGTTTATGGAAAAAAAGGTCAGTGCATATAGATGAGTGCAAACGAAGGCAAAATTATGCAGCTATGACTCGCATGCGAGAGCAAACAAAGTCAATACCAATATCTACTGCATTCATTTTATTTAAACATTAATTATCTCTGTTCAACCGTGCTGGTTATCCTATGAATGTCCTCTGTCATAGTAATGTGGAGTTTCTACCACTGGGCATGGAGCCATAAAAAGCAGAGGAAAAAAAAGGGCTGCGATTTTTGTGACGTACGTTCCAAATAATAATGATTCAAAGTTCTTTTGACGCCTACCTCTAATCAACCCGGCACAAAAAATATATAGTTTCATACACTGCAAATATACATTCCAGTCCTGTAATCTTACAGTGTCGGGTTAGGTCAAGACATTATGGGTACACACAGCCCTTACATAAGGTCACTTAAGGTTAAACCTAGTTATAGCATGTGATATGCCCGAAATGTGCTTAATGCCACGCTCATTAGGCTACTGTGCAGGCCGTATAGCCCTTAGCACACTTGCTCAAATCATGTTGCAACCCAAACACGTCCGTTACAGAACCCGTCTCAGTCGGCTCCAACCTGGTTTACACTCAGAGCAAGTTATTACAAAACTGTTTCATCGAATGGTGACACCATATTGTGAGAATTCATCCAAATGTTAAGGGAACGAGTAGTTCAGGATAATAACCTTTATTTATCCTGGATAAATCTGACGAGCTATGAGGCTCTTTTCTCAGAACGTTACAATACAAAAAAGCGACAGGAGTTCAAGTTATAGGAAAGGTAAGAAAATCACTAAAAGTAACTAAACTAAAACTATTTTTATGTTACCAGGTAAAGCCCAATGAGCTATTGTGTTTTTCTTCCAGAAGCGACCTGGTCAAAAATGACAGCTCAACAGAGTGGTTTATCACATTGAAATGTACAGCAGCCAAATAATGTAGAAATACCTTCCTCTGCACATCCACACAACTACAATATCCTGTGGATGATAAGAGGAACCGGAAAGTAAGTCGCACCCCAAAGACAAAGATCCCTGATGAAGGCCGGCATGGCACACGAGTTGACCAACACCACGTCCGGCCGTGGCATACTCATTTAAGGCTGAGTTGACCTAAGGGGAGGCCCAAGAACCGATTCAGATATTTGTCACCGATATTGGCTGTGAACGGAAATTGAACTCTTTCACTACAGCAGTGCACACGGCCGACTGTGGTGGTACCTGCTTGAACTACAGCAGTGCAAACCGACTGTGATGGTTTGTGGTATCATTACAGCAGTGGATAGTGACTGTGGTGTAACCTGCTATCACAAAGGCAGTGCATAATGACAGTGGTGGTAGCTGCTATGATAACAGCAGTGCATACTGTGGTGGTACATGGTTTAACAACAGCAGTGCATACTGAATGTGCTGGTAGCTGGTATGATTACAGCAGTGCATACAGTGGTGGTACCTGCTTTCCCTGCAGCAGTGCATGCATACTGTCGTGGTAGCTGGTATGATTACAGCAGGACAAGCGACAGTGGTGGTACCTGCTACGAGTAGAGTAGTACATGGTGACTCTATAGCAGTAGATATCGACTGTGCAGTAGTACATGCTGACTCTATAGCAGTATAAATAGTGACTCTACAGTAGCACATGCTGACTCTATATAGCAGTAGAGATCGACTCTACAGCAGTACATGCTGACTCTATAGCAGTAGATATCGACTCTACAGTAGTCCATGCTGACTATAGCAGTATTAATAGTGACTCTACAGTAGTACATGCTGACTCTATAGCAGTATTTATAGTGACTCTACAGTAATACATGCTGACTGTATAGCAGTATTAATAGTGACTCTACAGTAGTACATGCTGACTCTATAGCAGTATTTATAGTGACTCTACAGTAGTACATGCTGACTCTATAACAGTATTAATAGTGACTCTACAGCAGTACATGCTGACTCTATAGCAGTATATGTAGTGACTCTACAGTAGTACATGCTGACTCTATAGCAGTATTTATAGTGACTCTACAGCAGTACATGCTGACTATATAGCAGTATAAATAGTGACTCTACAGTAGTACATGCTGACTCTATAGCAGTATTTATAGTGACTCTACAGTAGTACATGCTGACTGTATAGCAGTATTAATAGTGACTCTACAGTAGTACATGCTGACTGTATAGCAATATAAATAGTGACTCTACAGTAGTACATGCTGACTCTATAGCAGTGTTAATAGTGACTCTATAGCAGTAGATATTTAGTGACTCTATAGCACAGAGTACTCACGTGACAGAGTGCCGTGGTGTGGCCGTGAGGTCGACCGAACGCGCATCACGTGGCATGGTCCGCCCCCCCCCCCACGCAATTGTCGTCAGTTGGTACGGTCGAGCTCGCGCAATAAGTAAATAATAAAAATAAGAATGGCACTAGATCGCTAATTAAACTAATTTTATGTTGACGGATGGGAAAACGGAATAGCCTATTCCCACCGCGGGGCTTGGGGTGTGCCACCCGGCAAATTTTTTTGTACCAAAACCCCACCGTCCGTTAGCCAAATCCCCCGCACGCGCGCGCGCGAACACTTTCATATATAAGAAAACTCCCACCTTCGGGGCACCGTCTGAAATAATCCTTCCCACCTACGATGCTCCCCCTTAAAAGTGCTTGCCACAAATGAACCACAAAACCTTGCCGATATCGTCAAGGAGCATAAAACAGCACGTGCACTCCGGTCCTCCTTGCAGCAATGACTTTTGGCTAACAATCGAACAGAGAGGGTCACTACATCGCACGCTTTCAGATGCGCTTCTGTGGCCCTCTGGAATGCTCTTCCTTCCGATATTAGAAAGCCACTGGAGCTATGTACTTTTAAATCTAGATTGAACACTCGTTTTTTTAACAACTGCTTTTTGTGTTTAGTTTGTTGTCCTTCCCCCCCCCCGCACCTCTGATTAGTACAGTTGACTACGTACGGTGGGAAAGAAGTTCAACATACGTGCATAAAAAGAAAACAAAAATTATCCTTGCTCACGTGAACTCAACGGGCAAATATCCCCCTGTTGTTCAGCGCCGTGAGATGCAGTCACGTTTACACATTTAAAAAATTCAAAACTCCGTTGTGCTCTAAGGGACAGGCCACTCACCGCTTGCTGATGAATGAAGGCATGTGCTGGGTGCTGTTGCAGGTTTCCAAGATCAAGACTTCCCGCCTGCTCCGATGGAATGCACACAGGCTGCGGGTGCGGAGACTGTTGCTGTAGCGGAGGCTGCAGCTGTTGTGCCTGGTGTTGAAGCTGTTGAAGCAGCTGTGGCTGCTGTAGTGATTGATGTTGCAGCTGTGGCTGTTGTGGCTGCTGTTTCTGTTGCAATAACTGCTGTTGCTGTGGCTGTTGTATCAACTGCTGTTGCTGCTGTACATGTTCAGGAATATGTAGCTGCTGGGCCTGCTGTATTACCAATTGTTGCAGCTGCTGTTGAGGTTGTTGTGGCTGTTTCATTAATTGCTGTTGTTGCGGAGGCTGTTCTTGCAGCTGCTGCTGTGGCTGCTGTTGTAGCTGCTGTGGCAGCTGTTGTAGCTGCTGTGTTAGTTGCTGTGGTGGCTGTTGTAGCTGCTGTTGCAGTTGCTGTGGTGGCTGTTGCAGCTGCTGCTGTGGCTGCTGTTGCAGTTGCTGTGGTGGCTGTTGCAATTGCTGTGGTGGCTGTTGCAATTGCTGTGGTGGCTGTTGCAATTGCTGTGGTGGCTGTTGTAAGTGCTGTGGTGGCTGTTGCAGCTGCTGCTGTGGTGGCTGTTGCAGCTGCTGCTGTGGTGGCTGTTGCAGCTGCGTTGGCTGTTGTAGTTGCTGTGGTGGCTGTTGCAGCTGCTGCTGTGGCGGCTGTTGCAGCTGCTGCTGTGGCGGCTGTTGCAGCTGCTGCTGTGGCTGCTGTTGTAATTGCTGCGGTGGCTGTTGTATTAGCTGCTGCTGTGGTGGTTGTTGCAGTTGCTGTGGTTGCTGTTGCAGCTGCGTTGGCTGTTGTAGTTGCTGTGGCGGCTGTTGCAGCTGCTGCTGTGGCTGCTGTTGTAATTGCTGTGGTGGCTGTTGTATTAGCTGCTGCTGTGGCTGCTGTTGTAATTGCTGCGGTGGCTGTTGTATTAGCTGCTGCTGTGGTGCCTGCTGCAGTTGCTGTGGTGGCTGTTGCAGCTGCGTGGGCTGTTGTAGTTGCTGTGGTGGCTGTTGCAGCTGCTGCTGTGGCTGCTGTTGTAATTGATGTGGTGGTTGTTGTAACAGCTGCTGCTGCGATGGAGCCTGTTGAATCTGTGGCTGCTGTAACAACTGCTGAAGCTGTTGCTGTGGCAGTTCAGGAATATGTTGCTGTGAGGCTTGCTGTATTGATTGTTGTTGCAGCTGCTGCTGATGTTGTTGTGGCTGTTGCATTGGCTGCTGTTGTAGCTGTTGTTGTGCTTGCTGAGGCAGCTGTAATGTTTGTGACTGTTCCAACGGCTGTTGGTGCAGCTGTTGTGGCGGCTGCTGGATATTAAGGTGTGGCTGCTGTTGGAGCGGATGCGGCTGTTGTGTTAAATGCTGTGGCAAGTGCTGCATCTGCTGTACAGGCTGCAGTTGTTGTTGCTGCTGCTGTAGCAGTTGTAGAGACTGTGGCTCAGGCAGTTGCTGCTGCTGTGGCTGTTGTGAATGTTGTGGTGGCTGCTGTTGTAACTGTAACTGCTGTTGCTGCTGCTGTGTTGGCTGTAAGGGCTGTTGCTGAAGTTGATGTGGTTGCTGCTGCAACTGCTGATTTAGTTGCTGCGATGGCTGCTGTGTATACTGCTGTAGCTCTTGCACTTGCTGTTGTACCAGGTGTTGTAGCTCCTGCTGCATTGGCTGTTGCTGCAGCTGTTGTGACTGTGGTGTTTGCTGTTGTTGCTGCGTCTGCTGTGGCTGTTGCAGGTGCTGTTGGAGTGGCTGTTGCTGCTGCAGAAGAAGTGGCTGCTGTAGCGACTGTGGCTGGGATGGCTGCTGTTGTAGTTGCTGCTGTGGTTGTTGCTGCTGCAGCTGCTGCTGTGGTTCTTGATGTGGCTGTTGTTGTTGCTGCTGATGTGGCTGTTGAAGTTGCTGCTGTTGCTGTGGCTGTTGTTGCTGTTGTAGCTGCTGTTGCTGTGCTTGTTGAAGCTGTTGAAGCTGTGGCTGCTGAAGTTGCTGCTGCTGCAGCTGGTGTTGAGGCTGCTGTGCCTGTTGTAGCTCCTGTTGCTGTGGCTGCTGGTGCTGTATTAGCTGCTGTTGCAGCTGTTGCTGTGGCTGGTGTGCTTGCTGTATCTCCTGCTGATGTGGCTGCTGTGGCTGCTGCTGTTGCTGTATTAGCTGCTGCAGCTGTTGCTGCTGTGCTTGTTGTAGCTCCTGTTGCTGCTGTGGCTTCTGTTGCTGCATTAGCTGCTGCTGAGGCTGGTGTGACTGTTGTAGCTCCTGCTGTTGTGGCTGCTGAAGCTGCTGTGGTGGCTGCTGTTGCTGTATTAGCTGCTGCTGTAGCTGGTGTGCTTGCTGTATCTCCTGCTGTTGTGGCTGTTGAAGTTGCTGTGGTGGCTGCTGTTGCTGTATTAGCTGCTGCTGTAGCTGGTGTGCTTGCTGTATCTCCTGCTGTTGTGGCTGTTGAAGTTGCTGTGGTGGCTGCTGTTGCTGTATTAGCTGCTGCTGAGGCTGGTGTGACTGTTGTAGCTCCTGCTGTTGTGGCTGCTGAAGTTGCTGTGGTGGCTGCTGTTGCTGTATTAGCTGCTGCTGTAGCTGGTGTGCTTGCTGTATCTCCTGCTGTTGTGGCTGTTGAAGTTGCTGTGGTGGCTGCTGTTGCTGCATTAACTGCTGCTGAGGCTGGTGTGACTGTTGTAGCTCCTGCTGTTGTGGCTGCTGAAGTTGCTGTGGTGGCTGCTGTTGCTGTATTAGCTGCTGCTGTAGCTGGTGTGCTTGCTGTATCTCCTGCTGTTGTGGCTGTTGAAGTTGCTGTGGTGGCTGCTGTTGCTGCATTAACTGCTGCTGAGGCTGGTGTGCTTGCTGTATCTCCTGCTGTTGTGGCTGTTGAAGTTGCTGTGGTGGCTGCTGTTGCTGCATTAACTGCTGCCGAGGCTGGTGTGATTGTTGCAGCTCCTGGTGCTGTGACTGCTCAAGCTGCTGCTGTGGTTGCTGAAGCTGCTGCTGGGGCTGCTGAAGTTGCTGCTGTGGCTGCTGCCGAGGTTGGTGTGCTTGTTGTAACTCCTGTTGCTGTGGCTGATACATCTGCTGCTGTGGCTGCAACAGTTGCTGCAATGGCTGTTGAAGCTGCTGCAGTGGCTGTGGAAGCTGCTGCTGCTGCTGTTGCAGGTATAGCTGCTGCTGCTGCTGCTGTGGTTGTTGCTGCTGCTGTGGTTGTTGCTGCTGCTGCGGTGGTGGGTGCTGCTGCCCAGTCTCGATGATTCCCGCATGCTGCTGTTGCTGCTGAGTCTGCTGTAAGGTCTCCAGTTGCATCTGCAGGGCAGCTTCTGCAAGGCTTGGCCTCTGAAGCAGCAGCGGCGATGGCTGAACGACACTGATGCTGTAGTGTTGCTGCTGCGGTGCCATCTGTGTGTGCACAACCTCCACCGACCCCTGCTCCACAGCCGTTTGAAAGGCCTCTATTGAGATCTGGGGCTTCAAAAATTCTTGCGTTTCGACAGGTGGTGCCAAAACCTGCTCTGCGTACGACTGTGCTTGCGGCTGGATGTGCATTTGTGCTGTCATCTCTAAACCAAGTTCTGAAAAATGTCCAGAAAGTTCCTGCAGCGGCTGATGCGCCTGGGGCTGTGCAAATGCCATCACGTTCGGCTGTTGCTGCTGTATGCCCCCAGTAAAATGCTGGTGTGCTTGAACTTGTGGCTGGTAAGAAGTGGCATGCACGTCTGGCACCACCCCCCGAGTGCATGATGGCACTCCACCTTGTTGCGTCGGTGGCTGAGCAGTTTCCAACTGCGACAGAGCTGGACCTGGATGCTGTAGGTTCACCGGCGGAGGCAGGCCATCGGCCATGACATTCTGCTGCTGCGCAGGCTGCTGCAGAGCAGCGTCGACTGGCTGCTGCTGCTGCAGCTGCACGACAGAAAATTGAGCCTGCACCCCCGAACACTGCGCGAGTTCCAAAAGTCCCACCGGACACGTCTGCTGCAGAGTGCCGGTTGTGCACTGCTGCAACGTCTGCACGCTGTCCAACGGCACTTGGGCCGCCTGCTGCACCGATGCGGTCAAAAGGGCACACGGTGCCGGCACAGACGCATAGGCAGACATCTGAACCTGCTGCATTGGTACCGACTGTGTGGTGTTGCCGGCCGGGCAGTGTTGCTGATGGGGGGGCAGTGGCTGGTCTAGCAGAGGTTGACTGTACAGCTCCTGTAGCGGAGGCAGGGGCATGTTGAGGTGTGCACTCTGCGAGTCCAGTAGCAGCCCAGTGTCCGCATGGACTGGCGCTGGCGAGAGAAGCATACGAACAAGGTCACTTACATTTTATCAGCATTTAATATGGATTTAATATGATAAACTAACAGCTGATCCAATACTTCAAAATATATTAAATTTGCCACAAGAATATGTTATGGTGTTGCTGGTGTACCTAAGTATACTTAGCAGGCATGAAAACGATTCAGCACCCACTGCAATGTGTCGTCAAAATTTGGGCTCACAGATTCAAGAATTATTGCCTCATTTGTATCGTCTGCCTGATATGCTGTCACATTTATAGCGACTCACTTGTTCCAATTGTGTTAAGGTTACAATTGCATATGTGCACGAATTAAAAATAATTAATATTTGCATACATTTTTTGATGCACCTTCAATTAACACAGTTGGCTGAAAGAAGTTCAACATACATGCATGTATTGTGCATGTAAGAATATATTTTTCTTGATGAATAATTACATTCCTAAAAAACAGGAAAAAATGCTTTTCTCAAAAACATTATTTGTATTTTTGTCAACTGTAGTTTAAATTTTGCTTGTCAATATTTAACTTTTTGGTTTTGCATGCATTTGTTATGTTGCAGAAGTCAAACATTCCGGATCGACAATGCACAGTACTCCAAAAGCAATTGGCAACAAATTAAAAAAAACATGACCATCGTTATTTAATAGGAAACAGCACCAGTGGCTTGCGCTAAGTAGGGACTCAGTAAACCAACCTTCTGTCGGCTCGCCAAGCAAGCACTGCCCCATGGGTAGCTGGGACATGGGCAGCAGTAGCTCGGCAGCTGGGGGACCTGCCATGGTCTGAGCGTGGAGGCCAGACCGCATGGCATCTTCCTCTGCCACCCCACCACCTTTGTCCTGTTCTTCAATGACCTGCATCCCCATCATATGGTCAGCATCAAGAGCATCATGAGCATCATCGTCATCAAAGGCATGATCAGCATCATGAGCATCACCAGCTCTCAGACACCTACATCCTCTCATCTCCACTGAAATTGCCAACACATTGATTGGCATGTTGCATAGTTGGGTCTCGCCTTGACAACTGCAACTCTGTCCTAGTTCGGACCTCCACTGGCAACCTAAAAAAACTTCAAAGACGACAAAACAACCTGGCACGCGTCATCATTGGCCGCCCTCATTCCCGTCTCGACTCACTTGGCCTGTCTCCGTGCCCTCAACTGGCTACCCATCGCCAGCAGGGTCACATACAAGATCGCCTGCCTCTGCCACCGTGCCTTCACATCTGCCTGCCCGCCGTGCATTTCTTCATTATTGACGACTTGCAGCTCAGCACACGGCAGAGACCTGCGCAGCGTGACTCACGACCTCCTCTTGATACCAAGATCCAGGATGGTCACGTCTATGCGCCGCTTCTCGGTGGCAGCCCCAACAGTCTGGAACGTTATCCCTCTGCACATTCGCAGCATCGCCTCAATCGCCTCCTTCAAGAGACACTTAAAAACTCACCTCTATAACCACGCTTTCGAGCGACTCTGAGCTTGGCTCCGCGTCTCTGAGATGCGACCGTTGCGTCCGCAAATTTGCGCGCGTTATAAATGGCATTATTATTTATTATTATCATCAGCGGCATTAACATCACCAGTTCCATATGACCAGATCATCAAGAATGCAAAAGACCTCTTCAGATCCCTAAAAGCAAAGAATAGTTGAGCTTTGGTATTACTTGGATGGGAGCACACCCAGGACTATAAGATGTCCTTAGACTTGGAGTGCGAGGCGACCAGGAGGTGACACTACAGCAATGGGCTATTGAAGTCGCCCAAATCACCCCAAAGATGCAGTGAGTTGTCCCAGGGCACCCCCGTTTCCTCCCCACTCAAACACTCATTAATGGAATTGGTCAAACATCCCAAAGCAGGACTGTCTTGAAAAATATATGTTAAGACTCGGTGAACCTTTCCTGGGTGAAATTAATCTTGTGACACAAATCAGCATGTCATCAGTTATAGTTATCGCTGGCTGCTAACAAAATGCAATTATCGTAAGAGCTAGATTATGCACATGGATGTTAATGAGCTGAACGCCGTCAGGTTACTGAACCAATCACGACACAGCAACCAATAACAATAATATATTTTCAGCACAATCGTCGTTTCATTCACAGTCCGTCCTCATCGTGTGCAGTTTCATTGACGTTTATTGACAGCGTTGCGGCGCTTGCCAACAAAGCGTCCACAACAATGCATCACAGCAGGTCAGGGGATGGAATCACGTTACCACGTCAAAAAATTCCCCGTGAGCAAGTCCACAAACAGCAGCAAAGAGGAGCAAATGAAATCATTACGTATTCGCATGATTAACCATCCATTACCTGTTTGTTCTGCTCACGCTTGTTTTTAATCAACGCCACGCGATCTCTGATGACTTTGGCTACGACCTTGATGTCACTCTCGTGGACTATGCCAGACTTCACCTGTGCACAAAAACAGGACGGGAATGTGTGTTGGAAGAAAATAAAAAAATAAATTTGTCATTCTTTGCTTAGGATGCAAAAACACATTACAGCAGGCAAGTAACGGATTCATACAGCGTCTTCAGCACCACTTGATAAATTGTCACGATTTGGGGTCATCAACTTGAAGAATAAATTACTTTTCATCTCTTTTGCACCGTCTCGTTATTCCATCTATCTCATCACTATTACCCTGCATCCTCTCTCATTTATACTGTCTATTTTTGAAGTGCTTTCTTGAATGTACTGTATCATTCGCATTGTCTGCATTTCCACGTTTCAGTTTTGCTTGCAATGTCTTCCTCATTCTCTCCCAATAAGTTGCGTTTTATTCATTCGAAGCATATGCAAACATTTCAACTTTCTTGTCATGTTCTATTCTGACCCTCCGAGTAGCTTACACACCATATTTACATTCAATTCCTAGCATTCTCCACTTGGGACTTGCCAAAAGCTATATTTCAAGTTCAGATCTCCGACTCACATACTGAAGTACAACAAGAAAGGCAAATTAAAAGGAAAACAGGTTAGGCAAAAGCACGGATCGGGGTTGACCACCCCTTTTATCACTTCGACTGGTTTTCAACAGGCTCCCCTGTTACAGACAGGGCGGACCGAGAGACGGAAGGGTAGAGAGAGCTAACGCAGAAACAACTTTCATCCTGAATTGGAAAGCACAGTCGCCACACAGGCCTCTTACCATTTCCTGTGCTACCTCTTCAGCAGCATCTTTGTCGAGCTCAAAGCTGAACTCGATGGCTTCGTTTTCTTTGTACTTCCCCTTCAGCTTCTTCGGGTCCTCGACCCTGAGACGCAGGCCAATGACGGGCTTCTCACCGTCGTCCTCCTCCGCCAGCTCCACCCGGACTCCAGTGTCCTCGGCAAAGAACCCGTGGTTGAGCAGGTCCTTAATGGAGTACCTGCGAGACATTCACATGGCTGCTTCACGCTATGTATTCCAGCGGCGCATTGATTTGCTCGCCAAGGGCAGGGCTTCTGGAACTTCAAGTTGCTCCCATCCCATCAAAAACTGCCTTTCCACGTGCAGCGATCTTCTCCGGTCGAGTTCAGGTTAGCATACTAGTATTGGCATTATGCCAAAGCGTTGTATGATGCCAAACATACAATTTTGATTCAGAAAACCCATTGCCAAGTCCTTTTGTTTCATTACACATTATCCAGACCTTGGTAATAGAATTTTAATCACACCCATGACTCGTACAACCCAAACATTGGCAATTAAAGTCAACAAGTGAATACATTGAAATCACATAACAACCATGTGACCGCAAGTCACCACATGAAATAGATGCAAAACTTAATGCATTTATATAAAATAAATCTTATTTTCAATTGGGAACACACAAAAGTATAATAAACTGTGACAAGAGTTATAATTAATCATTACACAAATTTTCCACAAAGCCATCGTCCACTCCCCAGTCAAAACTGTAGAGTCCTTCCGCTTCCTGGGCACTATTCTCTCCCGGGACCTCAAGTGGGAACTGAACATCAGCTCTCTCACCAAGAGAGCTTAACAGAGGATGTACTTCCTACGGCAGCTGAAGAAATTCAACCTGCCAAAGACAATGATGGTGCACTTCTATACAGCAATCATTGAATCCATCCTCACCTCCTCCATAACCATCTGGTACGCTGCTGCCACTGCCAAGAACAAGAGCAGACTGCAGCGTATCATCCACACTGCTGAAAAGGTGATTGCCTGCAGTCTACCAATCCTCGAGGACCTGCACACCTCGAGGACCATGAGGCGAGCGAGGAAGATTGTGGCCGATTCCTCCCACCCTGGACACTCTCTGTTCCAGCTACTCCCCTCCGGCAGAAGGCTTCGGTCCATCAGGACCAAAACCTCACGCCACAAAAACAGTTTCTTCCCATCCGCTGCTGGCCTCTTCAACAAGGCCAAGGGCTTACACTGACTTTAACATTTTATCTACAAAATGACACCTTGCCATATTTACACTGTTACCCTATTTGTATTTTTTTATTTTTAGATTGTATCTTATAGCTACTTTATATTCACTATTTATTCAAAAATTTACATACTTTAGCCCCTTAGTGTTAGTTATACTTTGTACCGTTAGTATAGTTAGACTTGCATACCACTTATTTTAGATTTAAGATTACTATATGTTGAATGTATGCACCTTCCTGCCAAAGTAAACTCCTTGTCTGTGCGAACTTTCATGGCGAATAAAACCCTTTCTAAATTCTGATCAAGAATTCACAACACCAGTTTGAACTACGTCCTTAAAATGTTGGCGAGAAGTTCCTTATACACCATCATCATCATCACGATCCATGGGCACATAGCCCGTAAGTGTCCACTGCACATTTCGTAATTTGTTTAGATTTTCTTCTGCATGTATGTATAACTTCTTGCGCAACATACGTAGCCAACCATGCAACTGGGATGTGTGGACCGTGCTAATCTATTTTGTGCCAATATGCTCAAGTAGTGGCACATCTTTGTGCGGACCAATCCATTTATGTCATCAGGCCATTCTCTGTTAGGTCTTCCTCTTTTTGCGGTGCCTTTCATTCTAGATTTGAAGTTTTCGTGACTGCAAGGATCCATACTCTTTGGTTCTTTTGGTAAAGTCAGGTCGGTAAAAAAATAATAAATAAAGATAAAAATATATCAATCAATCACGACGTTTCGATTGCAACACAAGCAATCATCATCAGGTGTGACAACCACAGCAAGGAAATTTTTACTTTCATTTTTCTGAACAACACACAATTTGCATGTTGTTGTCCATCCTACACGTGTGTTTCTTATTCAATTTGTTTTATTTACTCAAAAATAAAATAAGCATTTGAACAAAAATGGCACTAAAGACGCTGGCGAATATTTATGGCTCATTTAAATTTAAACGTAATGTGTGCCAACAGAACCATGGCAGACACGTGAAACTTTAGAGGCATGAAACCCATACGTTAAAGTGAATAGGCAGGTCTATTTGTATGAAGCCAGCTCAAACTGCCGTTTAAATTAAAACTCTTCGAAAGTGATAATACCTTTACGGAGTAATTACAGTCACTTGTTGACAAATTCGAGCGTTTGACATCATAGGCGTAGAAGGGCACCGTTTGTTGTTGTGCTAAAGTGTAGGGGGCGTCAACAGGATAATCTGACGGATGTACTTCAACATCCAGTGCAAAGCCAGCATCAATGGACAACTCACCCGATGGGTCAAAGATTAAACTCGAGTATTGCCCGAGCTGCACTTTTAATCACACTTTATTTTTTTGGAGAGGCCACACCGTGGAAAAGCCTTGTGGCACAGTTTCACAAGTGCAGGCTTGACGCGCAAGAACTCGGCCGACCAATTTCAGCCGCGATAAGCGTTGTTGGTGGAGAGCGATTCAGGCTGCTCACAACATCACACTGAATGTGTGCGCAAATGGGCCAGGATATTGCCACGTTATAAAGCGAAGGTCGAAGACAGCTGTGAAAGATTTACTGAGCGCAACGATAAACCACTGACTTTAGGTAGTAGTGTTTGAAGCTGCATCTGAGTATAATGGAAGAATATATTTACACAAGCGTCCTACATCGCCTGCTCAAAGATACCAATACAAAACACCCTATTGCATGTTATGAACAAAAGCCATGTGGCACAAGCATCTGGGGGCTAAATTTGATGTGAAAATAAATAATTTACAATTCCGATTAGGAAGGCAACTTCCTCTAAAGTGCTCGACCTCACCTGCGTACCACATTAAAGTTCTGACATTGGGATACTTAAGAACATTTGTGTTATGTCAATAGGAAGCACCCTTTATGTCCGCAATTACTGGATGTTGTTTTTATTTCATTAGGCCATGTCGTTACACGTGCCTGACCTGCTTTCTGCCCCGCCTAATTACCTTTCATCTTTGTTCGTCCTGATGCAACCTTCAATGATCTCCTTTAATTCTGGCATCGCAACTTTGTTGAAGCTTGCTGGTTTCACGCCCTGCATACAAGACAAAGACGCAATTAAAGTGCAACACTCAATGTTCACTGTATGCGTCACCGGTTTATTTATATCAGGGCTTAATTTTCTAAAATTGAAGGTGCAAGCAAATGTGGAAAGTAAAACATACATACATTTATCTGCCTACTTAAAAAGTAATTACATTGAATGTACATTAACTGTATTCACGTTACAATGAAGCACATTCAAATGTATTTCACATTGTAATTAAATATCTTAGATGCATTTTAACGGTGCATAAAACAGTCCATATTTCCCATAGCAAGAACTTGTATTGCATGCAATGAAAATACTACGTTTAAAACGCATTTTTTTAAACTTATGAACGCATGATCTTAATTGGGAAAGGGTAGTTTTGCAATGCTTATTGTACTAAACTATTAACCCCATGAATCTCGCAACCAGAGTTAGATTCCTAGCCACAGATAACATCACCAACCTGCACTGATCAGCATGATCAAATCTACTCTCGTGACAAACAGCTGGTAAGGATTGTTATTTTTATGATTCCCAAGAAAAATCCAACAATAAATGAATAGTTGTTCAAATCATATCTGTCAACCCATATGGTTTACCCATATTCTTGTACAGGAAAATTGAGTTCAGCTGCATGCGACGTACAGCCGTTTCAAAACGGGCAAAAAAATGTTGTCTATTTATTTGTGTTTCTCCCTTGTGATGCGACTTTGTAGGATGCACGTTGAGATTCATAAGGGTATGGGGTGAGCAATAAGGTCTAAATTGGTCTGTAATAAGGTAGGGCACTGATAGGGGGTTAACAAGTATGTATTGGTGAGTGTACTAGTGGTGAATATAGTAGTGGTGACTGTCTATTTTGTTTGTATTTCTCCCTTGTGATGGGACTTTGGAGGATGAACGTTGAGATTCATAAGGGTATGGGGTGAGCAATAAGGTCTAAATTGGTCTGTAATAAGGTAGGGCACTGATAGGGGGTTAACAAGTATGTATTGGTGAGTGTACTAGTGGTGAATATAGTAGTGGTGACTGTCTATTTTGTTTGTATTTCTCCCTTGTGATGGGACTTTGGAGGATGAACGTTGAGATTTATCAGGGCACGGGGAGACCAATTAGGCCTGAATTGGTCTGTAATAAGGTAAGCACTGATAAGGGGTTGACAGGTGTGTCTAATTATGCTAATTTTCAAAAGAGTCGATAAAATGCAATGAACTCATCTCTTTAAAAACAGTCTGTTTACATATCATTCACATATATTTATTTTATCCAATTGATATCATCACAACGTGCGAATTATTCCAAGTATAACACAAATATGCAGAGATATGCTTACTAATTTTTCACGGGAACTGGCTCGGAAAACTATAAATCACTGGCAACGTTGAAGTGTTTTATACACAGCCTCACACATGGGCTTTCTTAAACAATTAATAGCAATCATTCCTCAACAGATCATACTTTCATTGCAAGCAGTCCTGTGCACAAACTATAAGAACATATGGTTTGGGCCAAAGAATTTGTATGGAAGTAAATAAAATTCAGAAAAACAAAGCTCGAACATTAAACACAAATAAATTGTTTTGCCATTATGGTTTTAATGTTGGTTTTTAAGTCAATAAAATTGCTTAATAACCAAATAGAGGGCTTACATTTTGGCTTGCGCAATGAAATACGGCGACAAAATCGATATTCCAACGTAATGAAATAATAACTTAAACCAGCTGCATTTTAACTACCAGCATAAGGCCTTGACCACAGTGGTAATACAACGTGAAGTGCTTCACAATGTAGTTTTCTCGATTGAAAATGTCCACGGGGCTTCCCCGCATAATATTATATTTGAAAGAAGTCAATAACGTAATGTCGAATGTGCTCATGCAGTCTTAATGCCGGACATAAAACAAGATTAAGGCAGTGCCCCCACTCGGCACAGTCCTTCATCACATTGCCAAGGAAAATTTAGCGGACAGAACACTCATTTAATTAAAAACGAATGTGGCCACATAAGTCCTGGGTTCCATCATTAGTGAGCCGACGCATATTAAGATATATGAAAAAGACCCCAAATTCAGCAAAATGTGTCTCGATAAAGCATGTTTTGGAAGGCCTACACACGCCAAGCTCACTCCCCCACTGTACAATGCGCAGACATTAATCCTGTCGTGCTCTTGTAAGTCAACAAAACCCCCACATTCAGCAAAATCCCACCGGTTCCCATGAAACAATGCGCTTCGCGGATCAATGTTAAAACAACGCAATAATGTGTCTGCTGAGACAGGCCACTGCCAAATCGTTTTCTGCGCTTCAGTTTTTTTTTGTTGCATTTTTAAATTTCAAGTTTTTGATCCATCTTTGATGCACTGTTCTGGGTTACACTACTTGTGATATTTTACAGAGAGTAAAAATTTCACGTTGCTCACATAATGTAGGATTTGAATGATGAAACAGTGGCTGTTTCATCTGACATTTAAAGGACCGACACATTTAGAAATGTAAATACAGCAGTCTTAACACAATAAACACTGCATTCCTCTTGTATACTACAAGAACTGCTGACTACTGTGTATGGTCTCAAAACATAACCAGGCTAAATCCTGGTGGGCGAGTCAGCCAAAACTCATTATTCATGGCAACTCACCTTTATGTTCCACAAATTCAAACACTGGATTTACTGTCCATCAAGGACTTCCACCGGATTTGTGCTTTTTTTGTAAATGAAAGTAAAAAAAAATTATAACAATGCCAGCCTGGACCTTAAAAACCGCTGATGGTTACATGGATCAAAACAATTGGTAATCATAGATGAAACAGAATTATATACATATTGCATTGTTTGTGTGTGTTTTTTCTGCTGCAATTTCAATAAACCTGGAAGACAAGATTTCGTTTTTCCAAAGAAGGCAGTTTGTTTTTTGTATCTTGCTCAGTTCGCGGCTAAATGGAACAAAATCCATTTGTTGTGACGGTATTGACAAGATGAACACATTTTCAATTTCCTCACTGCCACTTTAATTTGAAAGCGAGTTACCATGCTGTTTTTTTTTCAAGCGTTTAAACAAACGTGGTCAAGTGTACGTTTGTGTATGTTTTGCATAAAATGACGCATAACTCTGCTCAGGCAATATTCAGTGAGATATAATTACATTGAAAGTAAATTCGAAGCCATGTGATTAATTTGTCTGGAATAAAAACGCGTGGCTTCTAATAAATGAATCACCAGTCATGTTTAAACAAAACTAAACTAAGCTGTGCCTGCGGCAGTAGTTACATTGGGGAAACTAAGTGACATGTATCAGACCATGTTCGTGAACACAAAACACGGTAGGACCAACAACACCTCTGCCGTGCCTGATCATTGTTTTAACGCTGTGGGCAGACACGAAATTGATTTCCCCAAGACGAAGGTACTATGCAAACCCACTGGCAATCAACAAAGATTTGTTCATGAAGCCATCCAGGCACATAAACACAGATACAATTTAAACCGAGAAGATGGGTACAAACTGAGCAATCATTGGAAGGACGTTATTAACCAGTTTAGGTCATAACTGGCTGTGATGCTTCCATCCTACCTGCAGTTATTTCCGACTCTCTGAGTTACATTACATTGTTAAATGTATTTACATTAACAGGCTAAATGTCTCACTAACATAGCTGCTGCTCCCTCTTCCTCGATGTGGCGGTGGCGCTCGTTGTTTAATAGGCTGAATGTCTCTCTCATTAACACAGCCGCTGCTGCGGGAGCCGTCTCGCATTGACATGCTAATCTCTAACCTCGAGCAATACAATGGCTTCTTCAGCACCGTAGCCGTGGGGTTACATTAACAGATTGACATGCTAATCTCTAGCAATATAATGGCCGAGGTGTTCCTAGCTCTGCGATCTTACATTTACTTGAAAATTCCACCTCTAGCCCCGCCCACTTACCCTTGGGTTGTACCCATCTCAACCCTTTACAACCTATGGCTGCAGTAGCTCTCTCGCTATATTTCTTCCTGCCTAGGCAATCCGCCTGCTGTATTTTTTCACCTGAAGACGATTGCTTGCGTTGTGATGGAAACGTCATGATTTTATTTTAGTATATTATTTTTCTATCTACGTCACTTTACGGAAAGACCCAAAGAGTACAAACTTTTTATTTTACCAGGTAAAGCCCACTGAGCTATCTAGCTCTTTTTAAGAAACGCCCTGGCAACAATTGATAGCTCAAAGACGTGGCTTATCATGTATAAATGTATCGCAACGAAATACTCTAAACACAAGTATCTAAATGTGGACTGAAAGACCTGGAGAAAAATCCATGCGACAACGGGGAGAACATGCAAATTCAAAACGTACAGGTGTCAGGGTCGGGATCGAACCCACAACCTCCCCCATACCAGGCAAGGGAGATAACATCTTGCCATCGTGGCGAGAAGTTATAAAATGTATCATTATATTCTTAGCTCTTTCGGTAAAGTCACGTTGAAGGGAAACAATAAAATAACAAAAATATATATAAATATATATAAAAAACAATAAAAATTCTCACGACGTTTCGACCATAACACAACCGTTTGTGTTATGGTCGAAACGTCGTGAGAATTTTTATTGTTTTGTATATATTTTATTATTTTATTGTTTCCCTTCAACGTGACTTTACCGAAAGAGCTAAGAATATGAATTACTGCAGTCATGAAAGCTTTAAATCAAAATGTATCATTACATTTTAGTTATCCTCAACCATACCTTTTTTTATCATAATGAACAATTTAAAGAATTCCCAACTTGCATGATATGGAGCTTATAAGTGACATCCTGCTGCCATTAGGTGTCAAGGTATCCGCGGCGATTCCCTGTTAACGCAGATGTCTATCCGCAATTGGAGCAACGACAAACATATTTTTACCTAGACCGAAGTACTCACCGTAGTGACCTTACGGTAAATCTGCGCCGGGTTTTGGCACTCAGAGTACGGGTATTCCGATGTAGCCATTTCCAGCATGCACATTCCAAAGGCGTACACGTCGACGGCCTCGTCGTAATGTTCCTCGTACATTTCTGGAGCCATGAACTCGGGTGTTCCTGCGGAATACATGACGAAACGCCCCAGGACTCGATTTAAATTTAGCACTGCAGTGGAATCAACCACTAATAATCAAGACTGTTGAGGTTTCGCCACATTTTAATCGTCACGTGTGGTAAAGAGATTTGCTCAAAAATGTAAAAGCAAAACAATCAATCAACTTGCTTAACTGCTTGCGACACGCTCGACACTGCCACTTAGGGAAAGAAATGCCGCCACCGTTTAGTTCACATTTGTGGATGTAAAAAGCATGATATTTCGCGCATGCGCTTTACAATATTTTTAAAGGTAAAAAAAAAAGAAAATTATCAGATACACTCTTTCGTGCATTCAATTTAGTAAAATCCAGCCAATTCATTTCAAACTCAAACATAATATTGCAATAAATTCAAATTGTGTTTTCCCAAGGTTTCAGAGATATTGCAAAAGAGTATGTTGTGTAGAATTAAGTCGATGTCCGAATGGCACAGTTGACTACATAGTGCAAAAAAAGTCCAACATACATACATTAGATGATTTTTATTTTACCGTTTGTAATATCTACATTTTAGCTTTCCTCAAACACAAAATTATATTTTGTCAACTTAGCAAAACATTTAATGAACTGCTGACTACACACCCACTGTGGTGTATAACCACATTATCACATTCAATTGGAACAATCAAATAAATAGGTGCGGTTGCAGCTCTGCAAAACGGCATGCGGGAAAATGCTGCCCCTAGTGTGTGAATACAAATAAATGTCACGTAGAAAAAGGCTCATCAGAGGTCCGGCGATATCCCTTTGCAAGGGTCGTTCTGTTACACCCTGGGCAATGCACTGCTCTTTTAAAGTGTTTAATAAATCCTTCGTCTCAAGACATTCCATCCACAACACAATTGGAAACTGTCTTCTCAAGCATAGCAAGTTAATGGTCCCAGCCTAGTTATAAATTACTGCAAAAATAACATCACATTTGGTTTTGTAACGTAGTTTGTCTTATTTCAACTCTGAAAATGTAAAGAAACCTCCGAATGTCAAGTAACAAAGACACCCATTTCATAGCAGAGTGTGGGAAAATGCACCCCCTTGGGAGGGTTTTTTTTTTAAGATTGAGTGAAATGTTCCGTGAGATTTCTTAAGGGATTCTTTGTCTCATGACATGCCACTGATGAGGCACAAACACAAAAATTGGTGGAAAGATGACAAAAATACATATAATTTTATAGAAGAAAGAGTAAAATAAATGCTTTTACCTATCACGCTTTTGGCAAACGATGCCCGTTTTAGTGTGGCCAGCCCAAGGTCTCCAATCTTTACCGAGCCCGTGGGACCTGTGATAAAGATGTTGTCACACTTGAGGTCCCTGTGAATAATGGGCGGTGTCCTCGTGTGCAGGAAGTGTAAACCCTTTAGGATCTGACGACACCAACTCTGCAGAACTTTCGTCTTCATCACCTTGAAACGCTTCAGGTAACTGAAAAGGGGGAGAGCAAAACTCGTTAGACCGATGTCAACAGTTAGCTGATGTTCATCATGCGCTGCTACGACCTCCGCATTTGAGACATCTGTCGCGTTTAAACATTCTGAAGAATCGATTGTTGTCCAGTAAAGGTGTTGCCTGGAAGGGAGCGATCACTGCAGTCATATTTCCCTTCAGTGTGTTGAACCCTTCGTAGCAAGTCTACAATTCTGAGGTGTCTGGTACACATCTCAAGTCCCTTCCACTGAATTTGACAAAACACAAAGTGGCACCGGGAATTCAGTGTTTAAAAATACCAAGTGTTTTTCATAATACAGGTTTTTGGGTTAGATCGCATTATTTATAAATGTGTCGTAACCCTCCACCACCCGACACGGCCAATCAGCAGTACATAAAATCCATGATCTGGTTCCTTCTGTAAAAGATGTGATTCCGGACATACAGTACCCTGGCGTCTACAAACTAAGTTGCCTCTGTGGTAGTAGTTACATTGGAGAAACCAACCGACATGTCTTGGACCGCATTCGTGAACACAAAGCAGACCTAAAACACGGTAAGACTAACACCTCGGCCGTGGCAGATCATTGTTATAGTTCAGTAGGCTCACATGACATTGACTTTTCCAAGACAGAGGTTCTTTGTAAGCCATCTGGCTACCATGAGAGATTCGTTCATGAGGCTATCCACATATACAAACACAGAGACAATTTCAACCGAGAAGATGGATTCTGGCTTGGCAATCATTGGAAGGATTTGATAAGCCATTTCGGGTCTTAATTGATTGTTCACGCTTACAGTGGCTTTCAGACCGCATCCGTTATTTTCGTCTCCCCCCTCCTCTTTTCCGAACATATATTGACTCGTCCATCTGAACAAACTGTCATATCGCTCTCCGTGGTGCTAACGTTAAAAATAACCGCCACTTTTTTCAAATTTTCTTGCTGTGGTTTTCACACCTGATGATGACTGCTTGTGTTGCAGTCGAAACGTCGTGAGAATTTTATTCTTTTATATTTTTATTATTTTGTTTCCCTTCTACGTGACTTTACCGAAAGAACAAAGAATATAAAAGACAAATTTTAAATAGTTCACTAGTTTAGCCCACTGGCGTGTTGAAGAGTGAATCCACAACATTTACAGTTTGAGTACGACATTTCGCTGGTAATTACATCCATAATCATCGGGCAATTCGCCAGAATGGTAAAGCCCTCACTTGCTCCCGGTCTTAAATAGAGCAGCAGGGTGACGTCATCATTTAACTCATTCAGGTGGGCTAAAGTAGTGAACTATTTGTCTTTTGTCAACGTGACACTTTTTTGCTGATTGGCCATGTCGGGTGGTGGAGGGTTACGACACATTTATAAATAACGTGATCTAACCCAAAAACCTGTATCATGAATAATATTGGACGCGAAAGCCTACGTGTTAAACTGATACCAGTGTTTGTTTAAATTTTAAAATAAGAGTGGTATGCAAGAGCCAAATAAATTTCGTTCTTCAAAATGGACTTTACTGATGCAAGTTATTGGATTTAGTATATGAAATGGCAATTGTTGTATAACTAATCAAACATTAATCTGATTATCCTAATTGTTTGGACTACCATGGCATATCTGAGTGTACTTTATATCCGTGTCAATTGATCGGAAATGTTTTAGTACACAGTAGGTTGCGGCGCTTGCCAACGGAGGCTGTTTATGTTGTGAAAACACTGCTACTTGTGTGTACAAGAGAAGTCAATTGCAACAGTCAGCGGTATCTTGTTTCCCAAGTCACTCAATGGGAAAAGACTTAACATTATTAAGGATTAAAAAGTATTCAATGTTGTTACACGAGGGCAGCTCTTACAGTATTCACATTTGACAGCTCAAATGTAAGATACTGCCTATAGTTAAACAGAATATCAACCTAGGTTAAAGTGTCTCCCCCTCCTCAGATAAAGAATAGGCTGGTAGTGTTCTTCTTCATCGATGGCCATGACCCAGGGGTGGAAATTCCACATTCCTATGACGGAGGTCAGTTCCACCAAAATAAACCATTGCTAACTTTGTGCAAGGTGGTCGTGATTTTACAAACCACCAATTGTGATCTAAGCTAGGAACCTTATCACTGCAAGCTTTGATGTGCTAACCACTGCTCTAAAGGGAAATGATAGAATTACAGTTTGTGCACCGATTCAAATCAGTCCATGCATCAAATCGTGTGTGTATAATTTTTTTTCCCACCATGCAAATGTTTTTATTTTTCCAGGTGCTCAAAACAAAGTAGACTGTAAAAAAGAGTTACAACATAAATGGAAAAAAATAAAAACACGATGGACAGACGATACAAAATATCCAAAGAGAAAAGAAGAAACGCAGTAAAGATGAGTTGGACAGCACCACATTACAAACCAGGCAAATAGTAAAAATGAGGCAATGCAGACAAGAGAAACAACACAAAATGAGACAAAACAATTCCAGACTGTGCAGAGGGCAACAGGGAGTACAGACATTATAATATGCTTAGTGAGCTTTTATTTACCAGGGGGGGGGTTGAAAACAACCTGATCATACAACATAAAACATGGTCTTAGCTGCAAAGGATGTCCTGGAATTAAACAAAAAAACGTAGGAAAATCAAAGCATCAATAACACAAAAGGCCACACAGACGAGATAGACAACAGAGACAAGACGCTTTAAAAAAGACAAAAAAAATGTAAACGCAATTTAAATCTAGACACCCGCATGGCATAATACTTTGCATCACAAACAGTATCACAATCAGAATCTTTATTTATACTGGAGGAATCCGATGAACTGTAAAGCTCTTTTTCAGAGATGTCTTGTCGGGGTAAGTCGAAAAGTTCCAATAACAAACAATACAAAAACACAATAGGAACGATAAGCAAATCCATAAACATTTTTAGACTAAACTATGTTATTTTACCAGGTAACGCCCACTGAGCTATTAGCTTCTATTTCCAAAGCAACCTGGCCACAAATGACAGCTCAACGTAGTGGTTTATCATGTGGAAATTTATAACAGCCAAATAATCTAAAACAATTTAACACGTAGGCTTTCGCGACCAATATTAATCATACAAAGGGTTTTTTGGGTTAGATCGCGAAAATATAAATGTGTCGTTAACCCACAACCACCCGACACAGCCAATTAGTAAGGTAACCAAAACGTGCTAATTAGTTACTTCAGCTCACAGGTATGTTGGAGAGTAAACCCACGACATTTACAATTTCGCTTCGCTGGTAATTACAACCATCTTCATCAGGCAATTCTGCCAGAATCTAAACAATCAAAACGCATGTTTCAACGAGACAGGTTTTGGACACCGTGATATTCCAAATGAACGTGACAAACTGCACGAGAGGGCCCACGGAGTGCTCGCGAATGCTCACGTTTTCAGTGTGCCGGACGTCATGAGCTCCGTGACGAGCACGATGCTGTGCTTGCCCTTCAGGGTGCTTTCCCACGAGTCGTAGAAGCGCACGATGCTCGGGTGTTGGAGGCCCTTCAGCATGTCTGCCTCTTCTCTGAAGCGTTGTTTCTCAGGCTTGCTCAGTTTCCTATCCTGCACGCCGCCCGCCACCGTCGTTCGCCCCCGGTCGACAACACAGCACGTTACACAGCAGCTCCGGCGGAAAATTGGTAAATAACGTTAATAAGCCAGAGCCGCCTTCATTTTCTTTAACAGTAAATTGGGCCGCATTAACCGGAACTGAATGCCACAAATGGCACAATTTGTCTGTGCGAAGCCACAGAGTGAGCAGACATTATTACCCACTTTCAGCAATACCAATGCTGCTGGAATACACATTTCATGCAAAGAAGCAACAATGCAGTTACAAAACAATATTCATTGTCATCAGCCATGATCAATCCACTGCTGGGTAAGACCTCCATTTATTCAATTGTATTGTATGCTACTCACGCACGTTCTTAAATTACAGTATGAAACAAAACCTGTGGTTTGGTTATAAGAATTAAAAAATCCAGCCATGTGGGAAGTACACAAAGCACCACACACGAAAAATATTTCCCCAGACCGGCACATTCAAAATAACATTCGAATGATAAATAGTATTAATATTACGAGCCAATGTCCTGAAAAAGCCTGGCTGCCCAGTTCCTATGATCTTTTTTTCCCTCCCATCAGTCACCAGATGATAAACTTAAACTGTGAGTCTGCCTGTGCATGGTGAGATGTTTTCATTTCCAAGTACAGCCATCCCTTTGTTAATCTGCGGTTGACTAATAGATTGCCTGTGAAAATACACAGCTCACACAATGGCTACCAAATATTTAACCAAAGTTACACAATTATGCGCCTGTTTTGCATTTCCTGGGTCAATGCCACACTGGCAAACTGTGCAAGCGCACCACATAGTGAACCTACATCCATGTCCTTGCAGCAATAACTTAGCAACCGAGGGCTATATAAAATACCTTTATATAATCCTCCCCAGTTGAACACATATGATCATTACAGTAAGCAAGTATGCCTTAGTAGAAGGAGTCGCCAATTCGTAAGCATTAGAGTGTCTCATTCACAGGGCATCTACTTGATACTGCTCAAATACCGCAGTGCATTGAACTATCATTTGTAAAACAAGCATTGCCCTCCTGAAACTTTGTGCTCGGTATATTCTACTGATGCAAAGCAAGAGCAGTCAAAGTGAGAATGGGGTAAATGCAAAGGCTTCAAAAATACAAACGATGGTTTTATAAACATTACAAATATAACGTGACATTTTCTCGAGTCCACAGAAATTATTACAGAGTGCGAGTATTTAACGATGTTCCACAAACAAATTATTACATTATAGATATTAGATAGTAAAGATGAAATGTATATATACACTGCAGTACATGCTCACCCAACATTTGGTGGAGTGGTGGGGAAAAGTGGTTCTGAACCCAGTTGACTGCGTTATGAATTTGGTGACCTAAATCCAAATTGAATTCCCAGCTATGACCAGTGTGGTGAAGTATGTCAAACAGCGCTCAATGAAGGCTTTTATTCAGCACAGAACTTACAAAGGGCTGATCGTTCTTTAGGTATTAAGAGCCCATTGAGACCACTGGTCTCTTTTCAAAGGAGCACATGGCTTAAATAAATAAAAACAATAAACAATGATGAATGTTGCATTTGAACTAGGTGGAATATTAACTCAGTGGCAAGCGCATTAACCACAATTCCACCTCGCCCAGTCTGTTATTGCATTAGAGGATTGTATGCCATATGGACACCCATTTTACTAAATGCCATTTGGGCAGGGTTTCATAATCACATTATAGCAACTCTATGTTTAATGAAATCCACGAAGCTACGGATTAGTAAAAAAACATTATACTATGCTAATTATGACGATTAAAGTCACTCTTAGTTTTTGACAATAGCTTCAATTTGTTTTCACCAGAAACAAAAAGCATCCAATTATATCACTTCGACCAATACAGTGAAGGAAAAAAGTATTTGATCCCCTGCTGATTTTGTACGTTTGCCCACTGACAAAGAAATGATCAGTCTATAATTTTAATGGTAGGTTCATTTGAACAGTGAGAGACAGAATAACAACAACAAAATCCAGAAAAACGCATGTCAAAAATGTTATAAATTGATTTGCATTTTAATGAGGGAAATAAGTATTTGATTCCCTCTCAATCAGAAAGATTTCTGGCTCCCAGCTGTCTTTAATACAGGTAACGAGCTGAGATTAGGAGCATACTCTTAAAGGGAGTGCTCCTAATCTCAGCTTGTTACCTGTATAAAAGACACCTGTTCACAGAAGCAATCAATCAATCAGATTCCAAACTCTCCACCATGGCCAAGACCAAAGAGCTCTCCAAGGATGTCAGGGACAAGATTGTAGACCTACACAAGGCTGGAATGGGCTACAAGACCATTGCCAAGCAGCTTGGTGAGAAGGTGACAACAGTTGGTGCGATTATTCGCAAATGGAAGAAACACAAAATAACTCTCAATCTCCCTCGGGCTGGGGCTCCATGCAAGATCTCACCTCGTGGAGTTGCAATGATCACGAGAACGGTGAGGAATCAGCCCAGAACTACACGGGAGGATCTTGTCAATGATCCTCCCGTGTAAAACAATTGGTAACACACAATGCCGTGAATGACTGAAATCCTGCAGCGCCCGCAAGGTGCCCTGCTCAAGAAAGCACATACATGCCCGTCTGAAGTTTGCCAATGAACATCTGAATGATTCAGAGGACAACTGGGTGAAAGTGTTGTGGTCAGATGAGACCAAAATGAAGCTCTGTGGCATCAACTCAACTCGCCGTGTTTTGAGGAGGAGGAATGCTGCCTATGACCCCTAGAACACCATCCCCACCGTCAAACATGGAGGTGGAAACATTATGCTTTGGGGGTGTTTTTCTGCTAAGGGGACAGGACAACTTCACTGCATCAAAGGGACGATGGATGGGGCCATGTATCGTCAAATCCTGGGTGAGAACCTCCTTCCCTCAGCCAGGGCATTGAAATGGGTCGTGGATGGGTATTCCAGCATGACAATGACCCAAAACACACGGCCAAGGCAACAAAGGAGTGGCTCAAGAAGAAGCACATTAAGGTCCTGGAGTGGCCTAGCCAGTCTCCAGACCTTAATCCCTTAGAAAATCTGTGGAGGGAGCTGAAGGTTCGAGTTGCCAAACGTCAGCCTCAAAACCTTAATGACTTGGAGAAGATCTGCAAAGAGGAGTGGAACAATATCCTTCCTGAGATATGTGCAAACCTGGTGGCCAACTACAAGAAACGTCTGACCTCTGTGATTGCCAACAAGGGTTTTGCCACCAAGTACTACGTCATGTTTTGCAGAGGGGTCAAATACTTATTTCCCTCATTAAAATGCAAATCAATTTATAACATTTTTGACATGTGTTTTTCTGGATTTTGTTGTTGTTATTCTGTCTCTCACTGTTCAAATAAACCTACCATTAAATTATAGACTGATCATTTCTTTGTCAGTGGGCAAACTTACAAAATCAGCAGGGAATCAAATACTTTTTCCCCTCACTGTACTTATTCCGAATATAATAGCATAACAGATGAACGGTATCTTCCTTAATGCACACATTCACTATAGCATCCATTCAGTCCTCTTAATAACCATAAGAGGCATTGATTAAAACAAACATTTACAACCATTTGTAAACGCATTGACACATCTACCTTGGTGGATAGCGCAAATGTTGCAAAACTAACGAGGCATCGTTCACAGTGACTTAAAGCCAAACCAAGATCGGCCGGGAATCCATTGCTTCTACTTTTTGTGGCTGCGTGTACTGCAAAAATAATGTTGACAAGCCGTAAAACGTGCCTGCTGTCTCTTCTCGCCAATAAGTTACACAGACTTTACCTTGAAGGTCATCCAGTATAGTCTGGGACATGTCAATGCCGTCTTACACCAGAAAATTCCCCAATGGCAACTGGACAACTGCTCAGCCGCTATGCATTTGCCGGCGACGCATGCACCAAAATAAAATAAAAACCCCACAACGGTTATTTCTGGGTCAAACCCCTGAAAACATACCAATCAACAATCAGAGGCATGGAGAAGCATGCCATAAGCTGATTTCGGGTTAGAGGCACTAATCTTTCCTTATTAACTGTACTATTAGTTTTATTATTACAGTGCAATGAGGAGCTGCCCAGAGCAACATTTTCCCGTAGGTCAACCATTACTAAAGTTAATCAAACCTCTGTCAATTTAAATGTGCTCCAGCCACAATGTCAAATCAGACGTTATAATTTTTGTAGGCGTATAATTATCATCCATGAGATTGTGGGGAGGCGGCGGTGGCTTGGTGGAGCCTTGATCGAGCAGTGATTTCACCATAGTTGATGATAATCCATAATTACTACCCACAAGAGCCCACCATTGTGCTCATCTTCCAAAGCCAAAATTGGGATATTATCTACATCTATTACATTTTCTTTTCTTGAACGCCTAACTGGATTAAGTTGGCCTGTACTGAGATGATGGCATCTCTCTGGAACAAATTTCCAAAAGGCAACACAGCGCTTGGGGATAGACAATGAGTTGGCCAGCCAGTACATATTAAATTAATGATCAAATGGTGATTTCCTTGCGCTTTTGCATGCTTTGGAAAATTACAGACACAGCCGACTACGCGACCGTGGCCAGTCAACTGGGGTTGTTATTGCTTCAAGCGCCGTTCACCAGAAGCGACGAATGACCCTGTCTGTGTAAAGCCACAATGGAATGCTAACCATTGCACAGCTAAGCTGACCCCGGTGGACTCCTACTTGTGATGAACTTTGAATGGGGGCAAATTTTTGCTTCTGTACAATGCAGTGAAGCATATACAGTGCACGGCAAAGGGAGATTCTGGCACGAGTAAAAACCTTTGTGGCGAAATATCTTTCAGTAGAGAAAAAACTCCTCTTATCCGCGCCGCACTATTACCCGCGACTCATATTGTCCGCAGCAGCTGTACGCATGAACTTCTTTCGCAACGCACGGAGCTAACCGTGCTCGTCGGAGGTGCGAGGCTAAAAGGAAAAAAAGGAGTCGGGTCCAAGGAAACT